GAGGGAGCAGCCCCTCGGGTGCGTGGTCTGTCCCTCAGCGGGACACGGGCTGGTTTGAGGTGGGCTGGAGACACGAGTGGCCTTTCCTCGCGGGTGTGGGGGCTCAGCTCTGCAGCGCTGGCCTCCCTTCAGTGTGTGGAGATGGGGATCCCGCCTGCTCCGGCTCCGGTAAGGCAGGTCCGGGCCTCGGCAGGCTGAGATGTTCAGGGTTAATGAGAAGAGGAGGAGGAGGTGAATCTTTATTTATGAGAACCAGTATGAAACTTCCAGGCCATCTTGAGTTTCCTGGCCTGAGGGAGTGAGAGGAGAGTGGTGAGTGAGGGGAGAGTTGTGCCCTGTGAGTGTGCATTAAGACAGGTGAGTGCGTAATCTTGGGAGATAACTGTCACTAGGTGAAACTGAAATTGGCAGCGAAATTGACATCTATTGAAACTTGTAGCCGTGTGGAGGTGTTGAGGCATGAGTGGTCTCTCTTCCTTCTGGATGCTGCCCAAAGCTGAGGTCTTGGAAGTCCGGCAGCAGGTCTCACTGTGACCATTCCTGTCCTGAAACTTGCTGTCCCCACTTGCTCGTTGCGTTGCGGGAGGAGGTTTCACGGGGGTGGGAAGAGGTACCCATGCTGGCGTGGGGCAGCGGCATCCAGGCAGGTCGCTGCTGAAACATCCCAAAAAAGTTGGTGTGGATCATTTTGATTTGAAACCAAATCTCTGTTTGGAACAAAGTGAGGGAATGTATTTCCAGCAAACTGCAGTTCCTGCTTTTTGATATGCCCAGTATAAAGAAGTGAAACAACATATTAGACTTTTGAAGACACTTTTTTTTTTATATTTTAAGGCAGTAAATATTTTAAGGTACAAACATTTATTGTCGACGTTACTGACTTCTTGCTTGCAGCTGAGCAGTCATGTTTCTAAATAAAGACTGGTGTTTGATTAGAGTAATGGATTTGTAGTTAATCTCAAGAATGAATCTACACGGCCCGGAAGCTGAAATTTACAAAAAGACTAAATGAATCCATCTGCAGAAAGCTCACATTGTCTTTTAGGGTATTTGCTGTAAACCTCACTTGGCTCGTGTTAAACTCTCATGGCAATTCCTCTACCAGGCGTTTTAAATTCCTGACAAGAACTTTTTAAAAAAAATATTTAAGGCAGTAAATATTTTAAGGTACAAACATTTATTGTCGACGTTACTGACTTCTTGCTTGCAGCTGAGCAGTCATGTTTCTAAATAATGACTGGTGTTTGATTAGAGTAATGGATTTGTAGTTAATCTCAAGAACTGAATCCAGCTGTCATGGGACCCCGATTACCATCGGCTTTAGCAATACCCAATCACTGCAAAGAAGGTTCTTACAGCAACAATAGGTTCGTTGGTTTGTGGTTGTAAGGTTGATATTTTTTGTTAACTTTTAAAATTTGTATCAGCCTACATTCTCTACTGTGCAGTACTGCCACTTTTGATCCTTGAGAGTAGTACCATGCTCTGTGAACAGTTTTGGTGATTTAAACGATTACTGTAAACAGGTTGGTGAAATTGGGTTGCATGTGTTTTGCATATCTGTGTGGGAGGTCTTTAGTGGGTCATATATTCTAGTTTGTATTTTAATTTGAGAGTAGGCTGTTTAGCATGCAAATGTAAAACTTTTGGTAATGCACGATACTTGTACTGCAGAGATGCAGATGATTTGCTGTTATTCATTCCATTTTGAAATGTAATTCAGACAATAAAATGAAGTTGTTGCTAGTGCTTAAAATTAAACACCAGTAATATAGTAAAAGTGAAAATTTGCTTAAATCATTTAGTACTTGTTCAGATTCTCTAAATTTACACAAATTACTAGATTCTTTCAAGCTATTGTATTTTGTCCTCTATTTGTCCCCTGCTTTAATCCTTCCTTAATCCCGTGTGAAGAGATTACAGGCAATATGTCATTAAGAGTATAAAACAAGCTGTTGTTTACAGTAGGATTTCTCTTTTAAGTTTGGTAGCTAACTATTAGGACAATTTTACGTTTTAGAGCTTCATATAACTGAGAAAATACTATCATATAATCTTTATGATGGGAAAGGCCACTTCAGAGGCTTGCATTAACCAAAAAAGCTAGACTGAGCCCTTGCTTTTCCCCAGGTTGGTACAAAAGAGAAAAGTGCGCTGTAACTTGAAGAAAATAGAGACCACAGAGAAAAAATTGTACACCTGAGCTGGCTTGCCTGTGATGCAAAGCATAAAGTGTGCAAAAGTCTGTTGTAGTAAAATGTGAATCTCTGGACCATTTATATTCTAACTCATCATGTTCTGTAATTCCAGTAAGAGCGAAAAAGCCCCTGAGCCTGATGTCACACCAGGCTCATAAGCACAAGTACTTGGCAGCTTCATTTATTCTAATATCAGTGGACGGTGGTGGTTAGAGTCTTGCAGGATCCAGCACTGTACTTCTTGGTCAGCAAACCTCTGCTACCCTCCAGCATTTCTTAGAGACTACTGTGTGCCATAGCATTGCCATAAAATTGACTGTTTAGTTGTCCACGGAACTCTATCAATTTTTTTATGTACTTCTGCGTAAAGGATAAATTATCTAAAAAGTTGGAGAAGAGCTTAGAGTCAAGTGTGATTATTGCAGTCCTTTTATTCCACTGCATTTGGGTAGTTTTCAGTTGATGATGTCTCACTATAAGAGTTCCCTTGTTTGCCTTTTTTGTTAACTGTAAGTGACCAAGACAACTCTTTCATGAGAATCATTAGTGGAATGGCCTAGCGTGCATGAGTGTGGTGACGAATGTATGTGGTACGTGTGATTGATACATAGATATGGTTGTGCGGATACGTAGTTTTCATACCTGGTTTTGTGCTATTCCATAGAGTAATTTTGACACTTCCATGTGACTATTGCCGAAATGTGCTGACATTTGTGCTTTACTTAAATGTTAAGTGTTTTCATATCCTAAAAATTACAGTATACAGCAGAAAAGGAATAAGGCAATAAAATGTTACACAGCAGACAATGCACAATTGTGTTTGTGATATGTTACATTACATAGGACTTGTGCAGGGGAGAAGCACTTTATGTGACGCTGTTTCAAGTGCGCATGCTGAAATAATAGAATTGGACAAAAGGAGCAACTGTAAAAGTATGCGATTAATTTATACTCCAAAAATTACTTGGAAAGCTGATAGGATTTCGGCACCAAAAATTAGAGAACTTCTAGACACAAACCTCAAGTTTCAACCTTTATCTGGGTCTGTTTATTGCAAATATAGAGGTTTTCATTGTGGTATTTTGGTTCGCTTTTTTAGAGAGCAAAAGGCTGAGCAGGAAATGCATACTAGTTCTCCAGCTTTTCTATGTATGTGTGTATGTAACTCCAGGAGTTCAGGCTAGGTCTGTCTTTGGCAGATATTGCAGAATCCCCTCTGAAAATCATGTCTTAAGCAACGTACAGTGATATTTGTTGAAACAGAGAAACATAGGCATCCAAATCCTGTTATGTTTAACTTCATGTTGTATACAAAAATATACCTATACACAAAATGCATGAACAGTTTATCATTGCTGATGCTTTAGATGCAGATGCTGTGGTTTAAAATGTGTATTAGAATACTTTCAGGAAGTTTTTTGCTATGTTTTTTTAATACATATGTATGTATATATAAAACTAACAATAGATAACTTGCAAGATATGTATGTGGTATGTACCTTAGATTGGCGTAAACACTTGATCATCTGCTTATTACTTGAGCCACCAAATAGTCTTGAAGAAATGGCATTATTCAAGGTATTAACGATTAGACTGCATGCAGGTACTTTGGGGAATAAAATATAAAGCTGAATTCTGAGAAAAACAATAGGTTAAAATATATGAAAGTACAACTTAAAATCCAATCATAATTTGAATCGTCTATGATTGTTACTTTTTGTTAAATCTGTTTTTTAGCTTTGTTACAGAATACATTATTAACCCGTGATTTTATTTTACTGTAGCTGTGGATTTTGGGGAGGATGGATAACAACTTCTTTGTATTCTTCAATGCCAAACTGGCAGATTTCTGGTGCAAAGATTATAAATTGAGATGTCCACTAGGTCACTTGTTACTGGCATCTTGACAGCTGATGAAAGATTCCTCCCTGGTAACAGAAGCAACAGGGAGTAATGAGGTGCACATTATGCCTTCTCCAAGGAACCTTTCAAGTAATACCAGTTTAGAAACATCAGTGTATTGTCCAAGCAGATGTTTCCTTTACACAGCAGACTAGTCTACTTGAGGATGATGTGCTCTAAAGAGGTGGATTTTATTGCTGAATTTTGCCAGGCAAAATGTAAATCTCAGGCCTAAGCCTTGTTACCAGCTGAATTTCAGCTCCTTAATCTGTTTGGACAGCCTTACCAGCCTGTAGCTAATTATGGCATAAGGATAAGGACTACAGAGCTGCATGCTGAATCCTGCATCTCTTACAGAGGTAGGTTGACAGTGATCAAATCAAATAAAGTTGATTTGAGCTTTATTTTGTGTTTTCAGACAGCAGAGGCAAAAGGTAGAGATAATGCCAGAATTCAGTTCCCAGTCAGTGGTTTGTGTCTAAGCATTTGGGTTATGGTGAGCAAATGGTCCAGTGATTTGTTGTTGCTTGCATAAATAAGTGGATGACTGTTGTGAGTTTGCACAAGTGCCTTAACATCAGTTTTTAGGAGTGCATCTAGTAGGCAGGCGGTGCTAAGGTTAGAATTAGGATTTCTGCATAGGACCTATGGAACTGGCCTTCATTTGAAGTGTTGGTGATGGATAGGCTTGTGTATAATGAAAGCTTGGGTTCTGATTCAAGTTCAGATCGGAATTCACACTAAGATTTACACATATTCAAAGGTGAAGATTCAATGTTGTTTAATGTGAATTTTTTTCCAAATGACAACTCAAATCTAGTCTTCCGTACCAACTCACGCAAGCTCTCTGTGGGACTTGTAAAACTGAACAATAAGTTTAACTCTTCAGCCATTACTGTGGCTTTAATGTAAGAATTCTGTGAACTTCAGAGCAAGACATTTATAATTTCAATTCACCTTGGTGAAGAATGCAGTGTTTAGCTCGCTTCTTCACCTCCCTTCCTCACTTAACTTTAAGCATAGTGAGCCTGCTTACACTTCCAATCCAAAACACACCATTCAGTCCCTAGGTTTGCCCTAGCACTGTGCAAAATTTGGGTTCTTCTGTCTGTTTTCCCAAACTTCATCTCTGCCTTTGTTACAGATTACGAACCTGCTGCTGTCTGCAAATTAAGAATGAAGAGTTCCATCAGAGGACACCAGCCTTAAACACATTCTGGTCCTAAGGAATTACAATGGTAATCTTCACTCTCCGGTCCTGCTTGCTCTAACCCTAATCCTACACTACACACCTTCTGTGGTTTGCAGGATTTAAAGGAACTAGTTGTATCAAAGCATTCTATTTAAAGAACACATACAGATCTTGGGATTGTTACTGTTAGATACAAATAGTAGAGTGTTTCCTAAAATACTGTAAAATTACATATTTCCCTATTTTATTTTTTTTTAAAGGATCTATTTGAGAATGACCATGTTGTTCTGTCTCTTAATCTTTATATCTGGATCTCAGAGCAGCTGCAATTTAGAGGAGACTAGTGAATATCCTGCTCTGTTATGAGAAGACATTCATCAACATAAAACAGTCTGGAAGAAGATTTCTCAAAGAAAATCAAAGGGCATAGAATCCTTTAATGAAACAGAAGACATTTAGAATTTCGTAAGCTTTTGGCTCTCCAGGTCTTTAAAAAAAATGAACCGTTACACAATCATGAAACAACTAGGTGATGGCACCTATGGCAGCGTGTTGATGGGGAAGAGCAACGAGTCAGGAGAACTTGTGGCTATCAAAAGGTACGTAACATCTAAATTCAGTAAAGGTACTTGCAGGAGCTTAGATTTTCACTTTTAACTTTATTGTTGTCTGCTATCTGTGTTAGAATAAAAAGAACAGGGACATTTTTTTCCAAGGAAATTAACAAAATTCACTTTTTTAAATTAAGATGATTAACAAGGTGATTGTGGATCAGACTTCAGCTAATAGATCAATAGTGAGACATCAGTTTGTCTAAGTCACTGATTTATCTTGGTTTATAAAATTGCATGCCGTTTTTGTTCAGTTCGAACATATTTCCTTCTAAAAATGTTGTTAGGCTAACATCAAAGGAAAAGCAAAACTGAATGTAGACTTGATTAATTAGGGAGTTTGTTTATCTATATAAATTGTAAGAATACCCATCTTAAATGGGTAGATTTGAAATACCTTCCTGCCTCCCCAGATCTTTATAGGTACTGCATTAAGTTTCAGATATTGCTACAATGATAAATGCCAGGTAACAATCTGATCCAGTAAATGAAGGCTGTCTCCTTGGAGCTAATAAAGTTGTGTTGTGCATAATCATTAGTGTTGTCATACTTGCCTGAAAAGATTATTAGAAAACAACAAAAATTGTACTAGAGGAGTGGGGAAGTTCCCCTTGTATTTGTACAGAATTGCAAGCAGGATGTAAAGTCTAAGTAGAAATACCAGAGATTGTATGTTGTTGAGATATTTTTTTTTTTTTCTCCATTTATGGATTTACTGCAGAAAGATAATTGTAATGTAATTGACTGACTTTTCTTTCAAGAATTTCTGAGAATTTCAGACTTCTCCATATACTGCTAGTACTGTTACATAAACTTATTAATATTAATCTAAGCTAAAAAAAAAAAAACCCTGCAATTGATTATTTTCATCCTTTTTAGGTAAAGGAACATTTTGTGGGAAGTGTTTTTCATTCTCATGATTTCAGGATTTGGAATTCTTTTGTGTGATTTTTTTAAGTTTGAGATTTGAGAGAGAGATTATTTGAGATTATTAAAGTTTGAGATTATTAAGCTAAAAAAAAAAAAAACCTGCAATTGATTATTTTCATCCTTTTTAGGTAAAGGAACATTTTGTGGGAAGTGTTTTTCATTCTCATGATTTCAGGATTTGGAATTCTTTTGTGTGATTTTTTTAAGTTTGAGATTTGAGAGAGAGATTATTTGAGATTATTAAAGTTTGAGATTATTAAAATAAACATTTCATTTATTTTTAAATTAAAATCTTGGGTTTAAGTATCTTCACTCTAGGTGCTAGAACTTTACAGAAACACGGCAAATAACATGACATTTATAACCCTGTCCCAAGATCTGAGCAACACTGAATATCTGTGTTTGTATCTATGCAAGACTTAGAAATAAATGTATTATACTGATATATAAAACGATTGGTTTAGAGACTATTATATGTATGTATGAGTATTGCTTGACAAAATGAAACCATTTTATGTGGTATTTAATACCTTGGAACAGGATTGTTAAAATGACTGATCAAGTCAGATGCTTAATTATAATGTTAAGCAGCCAAGACACTTTTCAGATTTCAAAAATATAATTTTCTTGTTTTCCTAGAATGTGCAACTTAAGCACAAAGAGGTGATTTTTCTGGTTTGAAATATCTATGTTTTATGTGCAGTGTCACTGTTGCTTTCCTTCTTATTGAGAGCACGATTCAAATGATACAAAGCGATTTTGTCCCTGATGTTTTTATAAATACTTCTGGTGTATCGTGGTATCTCTGGCTAACTATGCCTGTAAAATATGCTTGTAGTGATTAATTATCAAACACTTAAATTTCTAGCAATTCTGAGAGTTGAGTTTGTTTTTAATTATGTTGCTGATGGGTATTCTAGAATGTTTTAAATTGAGTTAAAAATACAGCTTATGCTACACTTGGAAAGTAACATGTTTAGGTTTTTTGTTCTAGGAGCGTTTTCTCCTGTTCACTGAAAATACTTTATCTTGAACTTGTATTTCAGAATGAAAAGAAAGTTCTATTCATGGGATGAATGTATGAATTTGAGAGAAGTCAAGGTAAAGTGGTGAACATACCACATGTAAAAACAGGTGTCTGCAAAGCCCAAGCATAAGGTCAAACTCTGTGTACTCTTTAAATGGGGGTGACAGTTTCCGCAAAACCACGGGCTGCAGGCACTCCTGGAGCTCCTGCCACTTTGTGGAATATCCTGCTATTCTCAAGTAGTGGCTGTGGCTCATAGCCAAGCCTCTTGTCTTTGAGAGAAGATAAGAGAAGTTGATTTTGTGTGTATGTGTGCTTTTCTGTTTTACCATCCTAGTCTTTCATTTTACTGCAGATTTCTAGGTGTATATCCAGTCCTTATATCTTGTATTTGCGGCATTTGTAGAAAGCACTGGGAGTTTTGGCAAGCCAAATGATAGAATAACGCTTGAAATCCTGGGCTTAAATTCCAGCTCAACCTGTGTTTGGGGCATCTGATTTTCTATATATACAAAACTCCCTAATAAAGGAGTTGGGTATTCATAAATTAGGTTTAATTTTCTGGAGATTGCACGTAAGCAGTATCTCCAAAAAGAACACCTGTAAGAGAGTCCTTGTTCATGAAGGTTTCATAACAAAAAAATTGCTGGGTTTTTTTATACAGTTCCGTGAGCAAGAGCTATTACAGCTTTGGAGCTGTCTTTCATTGTAGGGAATCAGGTCTGTGTGTTAATCTTCACCCCACCTATGATGTAATCCCTAGAAATAGAAGTTTTAAACTACTATTAATATTGTTGCTTTTATTTTGAAATGCTATTTTGTTGTTTTTGAAACAGATTACAGACTGTCAAGCGGACATGTTTTGTAAATTCTGTGCTAGAAATTTTTACGTGTTAAAAAATTAGTTCTAAAGTCACTGTTGATTTCACTAGCCATATTTTGCTCTATTACAGTCTCTGAAGAAGCTAAATCATGCCAATGTAATAAAATTGAAAGAAGTCATACGAGAAAATGACCACCTTTACTTTGTATTTGAATACATGAAGGAAAATCTCTATCAGTTAATGAAGGACAGGTACGTCTTTTTCACAGAACAAAGAGGGTGCTGTCATGCTTTATTTAATGATTCTTATGCTATCTTGAAGAACACGTTGGAATTTCTGGTTTTGGCTCTTCTTGCAGCCCCACTGATGTGAACAGGAGTTGCTGCACCTGCTTATCTGAGGGTAGAATTCTGCATTACAATATTTCATATTGTAATGCTTTTGGAAATAACAGGTTTTTTTCAACTGTTAACATGATAGTTTGCATGTCTTTGGTGTGTAGAGCCATGAGAGAAATTCCAAATACTCTTTTTTTTCTTTATTAGACTTCACTTTAATGTATGAAGGATTGGATAAACACTGTTTGTTCTGCTTTTGCTCGTGGATTTGGCTTAAGGTGGGGATGGTCATCTGCATGTACATGCATGCATGCTCATAAGAAATACCTGTCTATGGACTGTGTGATGTTGCAGTCATGGACAAACAGTACGTAGCAAGACTTGCAAGGTGGACTTTGCCATAGGACCTGCCTTTTTGGTAACGTTTGCCTTTGCTGAATGCTTTTGCCTTAAATGTGCATTTCCTTAAGACATTGTCATGCACCTTTATTTCCTGATGTGCAAAGTTGTGCATCCTGAGAGAGCTGCTGGTGGTATTAGCACAACATTACCCTACAGCAGAAAAGTGCTGCTCTCAATCAGGGTTCCCTTAAGGGTACCACCGGGTAGCACACCTACCTCAGTGCTGCACTGTGCAGTCTCTTCCTTGCTACATTACTGTCCATTCCATGTTGAAGCACACCACTGGCCAACCAACTTCTACAGAAGAGACAGGATCATGGACCTCTCTGCATCTCTTGAAGTGAGTGAAATCAAGGCCTGGCAGCAAGCGAGTTTTGAGATGAGAACTAGTTGCCTCTGTGAGCAAAACTTGATGGGTCTGTTTTTGTCTGTTCATGATGTGTTATGCAAAATGAAGAAACGCCTATATTCTGAAAATACATTATTTTTTTAAGTATGTGAAGTTGTTAATCTGTTTCTTCACAGAAACAAGTTGTTCCCTGAGTCAGTCATCAGAAATATGATGTATCAGATATTACAAGGGCTAGCTTTTATCCATAAACACGGTAGGTTTCATACTAGAGTTTAACTGTGTAGCACGTTTTTTTAGAAAATAAGATAATGCATAGCAATAACATGAATAGAAATACTTAGAAAAGGCTATTAATTATCTCTTATAAAAATTATTCTTGTCTGTTTCAAGTAGGAGTGTTTTTAAACCATATCTGAAGTTACACACTGTTTTTCTATAATCAGATTTTTTTCTCTCTTTTTGAAATAATTGGTTATTGTTCATACACTGTTCAGTACATTTATTCCACCTTATTTGCCAGATGAGTAAACAAACTAAATAAACTTGTATGCTGTGTTATACCATGCATTTCTGTTCCTCAAAAATTTTTTTTAAAGGAGCATTGATAATTTATAGATGGCAATTTTTCCTGTCTTGAGATACTATAAGATACTACATCTAAAAAATACTAAAATACCTTGCTCATTAGGAGAATCAAACAGTCTCCTTATCAAATACAACCTGGATGTAAATTTTTTAAGAGACAGGACTTTTCTAGGAATGACAAGCACAGTCGAGGTGCTGTATGCTCACCACAACAACAAAAAGTTTCACAGCATTCACAGAATTCTAATGCTCATGATTAATATGGGTCTCCAAACTGCATTCTGAAATTAAGCTCCTTTGCATTTAAAAAGGTAGTAATTTGCTCTCTTGCTCAACTCTTCTATTTAGTACTTGTCTTTCACATCACATTGGTTTCCTTAAAACTTTCCAAAGACAATAAGCTGAGAATGATAGAAGAAACAATACTCCCAGTGATGTCTGATTGGCTTTTGTGTACCGTGGTGAGGCCTGTTTATGAATTCAAATAAATAATTAGTTCTGTTAGTATTACCCAGAAATTGCCATTTCTGTGTCTTTCTGATCAAGATAATGTACTGTCCTTTGATTATTAGCATCATCTTTTCCTTCCTTATTTCTACATGAAATAAATGAGAAAATTAGAATCTAAGAAAAACTGCCATTTCTAAGTTACATTATTAATATTTTGGTTTGTCCATAAGTGTTTAGGAATGATGGATATAATAAATTTGAACACTTATATTTCACTGTAATAATTTCAGTTTCTTACAGTGGTTGTCATTTTTTGCATGCAGAAACCAAGTGCTTTTTTGTAGCAAGTGAATTTCAATCAAGTTGATTTACATTAAAACAAACTGTGCTTACTAATTAAACAGCAGAATTTATGTGCTTTGCAACTTACCTGCTCTCCAGGTGTACAGGTGCTCAAGCCATCAGCAAGCATTAAAGAAACTTCATGTGCCTGCATTATCAATATTAGCATTCCTGAGCAGAATTTTGATGTCTTACATATCTGTGTCTGCAAATTGTCACAAGGAAAAATAAACTAGTTTAAAATCTTTCAAGGAATTTTATAAATCCAGTAAATGTCAGATGCTCAGTTTTCCATTATCCAAAACTGACAAAGGAGTTGTAGTTTTTGTAAAAGATTTAACTCTGCAATTTGTTTGTATTTGACATTGCTGCAGTAGCAAATTCATTTTCCTTAGTGTGTTAAAGGCATTTGTTAATTTAAGAACCTTTGGTGCAATAATCACTGGAAGGAAAATGTGTGTGCTTAGTGAGGGAGGGTTATGATTGTATTATGCTGAAATTAAAAAAAAAAAAAAGAAAGGAAAAAAGAAAAGAAAAAAGCTTTATTCTGCTAAAACATCCCAAAGTAAATTTTGGATTACTCTGTTAGAGGTTGCTGATTAAGAAATGATTACAAAATAATTCACTTATTTTTTGTCTGGTCTTCTATAGGATTTTTCCATAGAGATATGAAGCCTGAAAACCTTCTCTGTATTGGACCAGAACTTGTGAAAATAGCAGATTTTGGGTTGGCTCGAGAACTAAGATCTCAGCCACCTTATACAGATTATGTTTCTACCAGGTGGTAAGTATATCAAGAAGTTGATACATTATCTTAATTACCTTTCTCTTACCATTTTAATTTATCTATTATTTCTTTCCATCCTCATAGGTACCGGGCTCCTGAAGTTTTGCTAAGGTCGTCTATTTATAGCTCACCTATTGATATGTGGGCAGTTGGCAGCATAATGGCTGAATTATATACACTAAGGCCTCTTTTTCCAGGCACAAGTGAAGTAGATGAAATCTTCAAAATTTGCCAAGTATTAGGGACTCCAAAGAAGGTAAGACTTAGAAAAACCCACACAACTTTAAAAACAAAAACCCACACAACTTTTTTTAAAAAAAAAAACCTAAATAAAATTATTATAAAACATTGAATATTATCTCTCTTTCGGAACATACATACAAAATATTGTTTTAGTAAGTTTCTTGCAGACTTAAGGTTTTCTCAACTATATTTCTTTTAAGCTTCTATTATGACATGTAATGCTAGTCTTTTGTTGTGTATTAGCATCTGTTGTATATCATACCATTATATGTAGCCTTGCTGTCCTCTGATGAAAGCCATATAAAATTGTTTAATTCAGTTATTTAAAGCTATGCATATTGGAAAGAGAATCAGAAGTCTCCTAGTATTTCATTGTCACAGCCAATTTGCTTTCCTTTCCTGAAAGTGTAATTCTTCTAGACTAGCACCCAGAATTTGGAGGTTGGAGAAAATACCATAAATAAGTAAAATTATTCTTTTCTTATTTTTAAAGCGTGAAGGAAACATTTGAGCTCAAACACAGACCCCTCAAAAATATTATTAGCAATAAAAAGTAATGGAGGAAAAATGTGCAGTGTCTTAGAGAGGAAACAATTATTTTCAGTTGGTTTCTGGAGGCTAAACACTGTTTTTAAAATTACAAAAAAGATTTCAATAGCACATATAAAAATGTATGCAATTATATGTACTTCAGTCAAAAAGTTGTTTTAGGAAATTGATATATGAACACGCAAGAAAAGAATAAGCTTACCTTCAAAATTATGAATAAACTGAAAAAAAGACCATGTAATATAAATATTTTTTGGAGAATAAGGTAAGAGACGGCAGGTATATATCAGTACTGTGTGGGCACAAACATAACTTGGTGAAATAACTGACCACAGTTTCCAGATCTGGAAAATCTAAGGATGGGAGAGAAAAACATCAATTTCATTAGTGTTCTACTGATATAAAATAGAGCATAATTCTTGTCCAGTAAATGGGCTGTTATCGGTAGACAAATGAGGAACAGAAAACTTAGAACAGAAATAGATTAAGCTTAGCTGGGAACGTGCATCCAAGAGAACATACTGAGAAACAGGTGGAAACTTATGACAGCAGAGAGTAAAAGGTCATAGGTGGAGAGCTATAGATATGTTGTGGATGTGAAAATTGAGTCTAGAGGACTAAGTGAAAATTGCTATGATGTGTAAACCAGTGCTTGCTGTGACAATTGTGCCACAATCAGAAATAATGTGTAATATGAGCAGTATTTTAAGACTTGAGTTTTCAAACACAGATGTTAAGCTGCTTAAGCAGCTCACAAGTCTAGGATAGTAAGAACAACGTATGATGGATAGTAAGAATATCTGTGAAAGAGCAACATACTAGCTTCTGGAACATTTTCAGTGTATAGCATAAACAAGTTTTGGAAGTACAGGGAGATCAGAGGGAGGTTTTCACTGTGTGTAGTAGCAGAGCAGTGCTGAGTTGACTGCTGTGGTTTTTCTCTAACCTTGTTAGTAGTTGAATAGAAACAGATCATGGCTGGTTACACTCTGACATTCCCTAACTGGCAAGCTTGGGAATGCAGGGAGGGTTTCCAGCTGAGTATTTCAGGGCAAACTGTGGCCTCTTCTGAAGACCCTGAGGGCTAGAGACACTGTGAAGTCAGCCCTCCAGGATGAGGAAGTTCTTTTGTGCCCCTGTCATCTGCTAGGCAGACTTGGGAATTTTATCTCCTTATGACAATGCTAAGGCATTCCTCAGGGAGATCACTGTGTAAGAAGAGTACTTAAATATTATGACAGGAATTATCGCAACAAATGATGCATTTGTTACAAGTGAAGTACTGTTCTGCATTATGAAAAACGTAAGCAGTTATTTTAATAGTCTGATTTTGCAGATAGTTTTACAATATATTTTTTTTCAGACATACATTTTAATTTATTCCATTATCCTGCAATAAGGAATTGCAGGAATTATGCCCAGAAGCTTTCTTGATTCCAATTTGCCTTCCTTTGTTTCAGTTCATAATAGCATACTAACAACTTCTGTGAGTTTGGTTTTTTTTTTAAATAGTGACAGGCAACTATTTTGCTTTATTTTATAAATGAAGTTGCTTTATTTATAAAATGTTGCTTTATTTATTTCATAAATAAAGCAGTAAGTTGCACCATTCAATTACTGGCAGTGATGGTACACTTTGTAGTATGCCAATTTAATGAAAAATCCGATGACGATCTGAAAAGGAGAGAGTAATGAAATGCATTTTCATTAGTTGAAGGTTAGCAATGGCATTGTTAACTTTTATTATAAATTGGAATGTATTTTTCATTTTAGTACTTGTACTATTTTCACCCTATCCCTGCACTTCACCAGTTCAACATGCAGCTCTTGCTACTTTGTTCTAAATCCTTCCTTTATCACCATCTCTCTCAGACAGAAAGTCACTCCAATAAAGGAGGGAGACGGAGAGCAGGAGGAAAGAGTCTGTCTCCGTTAATTTAAATGAACAAATAATTCTCTGAGGTGGAATAGGAAGTCACTTGAAGTCTTGAGACTTATTTTAACCAAACTTGGTTTATAATTATATTTGAGTTCTCTGATGACCATAGACTGTTAACAGAGCTAAAACTCTAATGAAATTCAACAAGGGCAAGTGTAGAGTGCTGCAGCTGGAGAGGAATTACCCCATACACCAGTACAGGTTAGGGGCTGACCTGATGGAGAGCAGCTCTGTAGAGAGAGGCCTGGGAGTCCTGGTGGACAAGAAGTTGACCATGAGCCAGCAGTGTGCCCTTGTGGCCAAGATGGCCAGTGGTCTTCTGGGGAACATTAAAAAGAGTGTGGCCAGCAAGTTGAAGGAGGTCATCTTTCCCCTCTACTCTGCCTGGTGAGGCCACATCTGGAGTATTGTGTCCAGTTCTGGGCCCCCCAGTTCAAAGATAAGGAACTACTGGAAACAGTCCAGCAGAGGGCTACAAAGGTGATAAGGGAATGGAGTGCCTTTCTTATGAGGAAAGGCTGAGACCTGGGTCTACTTATTAGCATGGAGAAAAGAAGACTGAGAGGGGATCTTATCAATGCTTATCAATACCTAGAGGACGAGTGTCAAGAGAATGAGGTCAGACTCTTCTCGGTGGTGCCACTGTCTGACAAGGGACAACAGGCATGAGCTGGAACACAGGCAATTCCACCTCAACATGAGGAAAAACTTCTTTACTTTGAGGTTGAGTGAGAGGGGATCTTATCAATGCTTATCAATACCTAGAGGACGAGTGTCAAGAGAATGAGGTCAGACTCTTCTCGGTGGTGCCACTGTCTGACAAGGGACAACAGGCATGAGCTGGAACACAGGCAATTCCACCTCAACATGAGGAAAAACTTCTTTACTTTGAGGTTGAGAGAGCACTGGAACAGGCTGCCCAAAGAGGATGTGGAGTCTCCTTCTCTGAAGATATTCCAAATCTCCCTGGATGTGTTCCTGTCCAGCCTGCTCTAGGTGACCCTGCTTTGGCAGGGGGGTTCGACTAGACCTTCCAACCCCTACCATTCTGTGATCCTGTGGAAATAGGAATGCCTGTTTTCCACTATATAGGAAGGAGCTACATAAACTAAGCGTGACTCAAGCTGCATAAAATTAAATTTGATCTAATAGAACAAAGATATGTAGTCTCTGTTCTTTTTTTGGTGCTTATTTTTCTTTCCTTTGAAACAGAGTGAGTGGCCAGAAGGATACCACCTTGCTTCTGCCATGAATTTCCGTTTCCCACAATGTGTCCCTATAAGCCTAAAAACTCTCATCCCAAACGCAAGCAATGAAGCAATACAGCTTATGAGTGATATGCTGAACTGGAATCCAAAGAAGAGACCTACAGCAAGTCAGGTCTGAGCACCTGAATGATTAAGTATAAAACCAAATTTTCTTGCATTCTTAAAAAAATGTAGATAAAGAAAGCAATTGATTGTGATAATACTGATGGCCAGAGAAACGTCTCTTCATTTTGAACACTTTGGTGGGAATAAGACTGAGTAGTGAGGAGAGAAAGTTCTACACATGGCTCAGCAGACATCATAAACTTTTTAGTTATTTCTGCGATGTTGTCTTCTGTATTTGCATATTCTAAATCTTTCTCTGTACAGGATAGAGAAAAATCTGAGCTGAAAAATTCCTGTAAGTCACTTCTGCTTCCTTCTGTTTCCTCCCCCATCGGTACAAGGGGGGATATTGAAAATTAAGCATTGTTTTTTGTGAAGCTGCAGATGGAATGCAGTACAGAAGAGCTAAGGATTATTTTTACTTGGAGATAGGACATAAACTGTACTAAGTGACAAGGAAAGAACTTTGTGGAGAAAATACCAATTGGTCACAAAGGTCACAGTTTTTCTCCAAGTTAATTTTAAACAACATATTTCAAGTACCAACGATGGTTACATTCTACTGATTAATTTGTTATTTGTTCTTTTTTAGTATTCATGCGTAATACAATCCTATTTAGAAGGTATAAAAGGGGAATACAATTGGGAAAGAAAAAGCACATACTGCAGGCTATGCTAGGTGGATGTAATTCAGAACAAGCTGTGATTCAGAAGTGTTAAGTGATTCAGAAGCTGTTGAGCAGATGGTACCAAGTAGAGCAACCACTTCTTTCCACTTTATAAAGCATATCTATTGTTATATTCAGTGAGATCTAACTGTAGTCCAGTGCTATATATTTCTACACAGAATAGTGCATGGTCCTTTTCGAAAGCAAATAACCAGCTTTTGCCCAGGTGAGTTGTCAAGGAAGCAGCTGCAGCAGTTGTGTAATCCACAGCCAAAAGGGAGAGTTTAATGCATATATGTGGAAATGTGTACAAAGGCAGCAATTCTCAGGTGTAGCTGAGGCAAAACATCTCAAAGAGTAGGATCCTACCCAGAAGGAGTTGCAGAATGTTGGTTTGACATAGGAGGAGCTATGTTAGTAAGGTATGTCCATGCTGTGCATCCAGCAGTGGACATGAAAAGGTCAGAGAAAAAGAATGAAATTCACATCTGCCTGAAGACAGATGCTGTAATTTCCTGATAAACACCATGGAGGCACAGCAAGCACGATGAATGCATTTTAGTGCAGAACAAAAACAGGGAAGGCTGGGGATAAGAAAATGAAAGAGAAGCTTTGCTCGTTAACATCTTCTAATTGTAAAACCCATACATTAGTATTCAATGGCAATCATCACACTTCTGGTTTGTGGGTTTTTTGATAATAATTTAAAAAAAGCGGTTCCTCGAGTTGCCAAAACAGAGTTAGCTTTGGAAACATGTAATAAAGCATATGGTAAAGGTAGTGGAGAATACCTGTTTTAAGATTGAAATTTGTCACTGCATGAATACAGAATAGTGTTAAATGTAAAATGCACCTCAAAACACAAAACCTAGAAGTAAAGGAGGAAAAGAAAGGACATGACTGCTCTAACATGTGCAAGTGCATCCATCTTAATTATTTGATGGGAAGAGTTTAAAATACAGAACTGGTAGTTATGAATACACTGTTTACATACGATCTCACTATGCATCCATCTTGCATCTGTGCTGTACAGCTTGCTCAAATGCTTCAGAAACCTGCTTAGATCCTTGGTGAGGTTACCAAAGTCAACTTTTTGAAGTAAAATTAGTGTGTTTTATCTTCTTCTCCAGGCTTTGAAATACCCTTACTTTCAAGTTGGCCAAGTTTTAGGACCTCCTCCACAGTACCTGGAGAAGCAGACTCCTGTTAAACCAGTTCAGCCAATAGAGCCAAAGCCAGCTTTACCTAAACTGGAAGCTATAGCCAAGCCAGAACCTCTATCTTCACCTGATGTACCTGACAAAACAGAGCCACAGTCCCTGTCAAAGGTTAACCACCAGCCTCTCCAGCAAATTCAGTTGCCTCAGAATACAGCTAACCAGCAAGTACCAAAACAGCAGCAGCCACAGGCACAACCATTTTTTCCAGCTATCAACAAAAACTCATCACCAGTAAGTTGTTTTTAATATATACTGAGGTGGGGTTTTTTTAAGTTCTTACTATATTCAACAAGGCAATCCTTGAAAATTGTCATACTTCTCCTTTTTTGTTTTTTGAGGAAATGCAGAAAGATAGTTAGGGACTAATTAGCAATATAACTGGTCACTTACTGAAATGTTACAGCAAATCAGAATAATAGATTGCTTCTAACAACAATATATGTTCTTTTATAATAACCTTTACTGATGTGCTTATGCAGTACTGCAGTTACAACAGCTATCATTTATTGACCTTTGAGAAACAATTCACAAAAATACACAGTACAGAAGTGGAAAGGGAGAACTTTGCTTGCCTCAAGCAGGAAAATACCTGAGAAAGTTCATCCCATTCCTAAATTTGTAAAAAATTAACAAGTAGAATTTTCAGCAAGATGAATATTAAACTTTGGTTTGTAATCTTCATTTTGCTTTCCACTTATATGCACTGAACTACAATACGAAATATGTTAAAAATAATAAGTGTTCAGAAAATACTGGAAAGCAGGCTATAGTCTGATGAAAGGACAGATTTAAAATCCAATAATTTCTTTGGAAGGGAATGTTAAGGAAAGACCTGACTAACATTTTTTTTTCGCTGTGTTTACTTTGGGGCCATAGCAATTGGCATTCCTAAACCCTGAGTGTGATTGCTGCCAAGGTTCTGCTCCCCTGTGCCCTACTTGTTGACAGTTCATCTACCATTGTTGAGAGCATGAGTTCAGCAAGATACCAGTAGTATAGGCTGAGAACTGAACTGGGTCTGCAAGCACAACATTAACTTCACTACTTTAAGTAGATTTTAGCAATTTAAGGATGACAGTCCAAAAGAGCTATGCTCAAAATACCTGCTGGCATTATTGTTATGTTTTGTGCTTAAAATCATTCTGAGACTATGAGCAAAATAGGCAACAAGACAATGGGAAAACTTCCCTCAAAGTTCTTAGGTGGTAATCAGGATGTGAACTAGATACAAAATATAAAATCTGAGAATTGAATTGAAGGGGGGTTTTCTTATTTAAAATAGAAACAAGCAGCTACTGGCCCTCAGAATGGTGCAGTAGGTCCTAAAAGCTGCAGAAGACGATGGGGTCAGACTTTGGTAAAGGCTGTGGATAGCTGGGATGACTTGGATGACACTGAATTTGGAATGTCATGTTCAAAGAAGCCCAGCATTGCACTATTAAAAGAAAAGAAAAACAAGGAATGTCTTTTCAGGTAAGTCCTATAATTATAAAATCACCTTTTTTTTTCTTCTTTTTTTTTTTAGTAAACAGTGTCTAGTAGATGCTGTAGTTCTACAGATTAAGACAAATCTCCTAAAATTTAAGTCACCGAAAATGCATCAAGAATGCAAAGAGCTGTATGAGCAGACCAGCTTTGGGTGGTGTTGACAGCACCAGTTATATCTAAGCTGAATCAAATTTGTTTTCAGACACTGTATTTAGATGTTTGTCGTGTTATTAAGAACCTGTGTTTTATTAAAATCAGATACACTAATTTACTTTCCTTTGTCAGTTAAGTTTGATACTAAGTTCTGCCACAGTTACCCACATTTGCTTTTATTCTGTAGTGTTAAATACACTTTTTACTTCAAAGTCCTAGGTCAAACTCTCATGAGGTATGAGATTTGGCTGTTACTTTCTGGGAATAAATTCTACTGATGAAAGCAGGATAAGAGAAGAGCACTGTACTCTTCAGGCTGGGGTCAACTTTTGATATTCTGAGCTGGAGTTGTTGGTCACATTGTTTGAACATTTTCATTTTTCAGTGTGCCAGAACCAAAAGCTTCATGCTGTATCCAGCCAGGAGGGGAAAACAAGGTTCTGATGAGAAATGATTCTGGAAGATCAAATACATCAGCAAAACAGTACTATCTAAGACAATCAAGATATCTACCTGGTAAGGGTAAAAGTCAATACAGATGAAAACACAAGCTGTGAACAATCTATATACAATACATTTAAACTTTGGATTTCACACTGGATAATTTCGCTTTTCATAAACAGGCTAAATTTTCAAGTTTTGGACTTTCCCAGAACATATCTCATCACAATTGATTCAGACGTTCCTGGCTATTTAAATGTGGAAGGGAGCTCAAATGCTGCTTGTACACTGTAGAATTTCACAGGCACTCTTATTACCAGTAACGCATAAAACCCTAAGTAATATGAATCCAATATAGTGCATAGTTCTCAGTTTGGCAGTGTCAGGAAGTTTTTGGGATTTTTAAACTTAAACACAGTTACCTTTCTTGGTAGGAAGTGTTTAGAAATACCAGCCTCTCACACTGCTAGGAATTCACACAATCACTTCCTTTTCCAAGGCAGTCATCCTCCTTAAAAATAGATAGATAGCTTAGTCTAAGTCTGGGTGATTTAATCCGGAAAATAACATGAAATCATGTAATTGCTAGGAATAAGAATGTGAAGGAGGAGAAAGAAAAGGGAATGTTTCCTTCAGTTAGTACTCTGAATATTCTATAATCAAATTATTTCTTTGGTGTCTCAGTATCTTTTCTTTATTACCATGATAGTATGCACAATTACAGTAAATGTGTCATGACTTCGACTGTAATCCACATATGATAATTTAGGTGGCTCACAGAGAAATTCCTGATTTTCAGGCAAGTTGCTTTGTTACAATGTATCGCTAATTTCTCAGGAATTCGGTAGGCCAGTGATGACTTCTAAATATCACTTATGAATATTACATAGATGCTCAGAGACTCAGCAGTTCTAAGTCCAAAATAAAAAAAGGAAAAAAACAAATCAGGGGGGTGGGGAGAACTTCCCTATCTCAAGGTAACACAAATGGAAAGTTCATCTATTTTCTTATCTGTTTTTAAGCATGCTTCTAATGTCACTCTGGTTTTAGTAGAGTTTTCAATGAGAAAGGCATAGATGTAAAAAATAATTAATTTCAGCATTTAAGAGAATAATAGCTCCAAGGAGCATATTTGTTATTTATCCATATTACTTTAAGTCTGTTACCACTAGATCTGGGAGCTGCTTTCGTGCTGTCTAATCCCATTAACTCTTGTAAAGCTCGTAACATGCTGAAGTAACAAGAACTTTTTTGTCCTACTTTTTAACTTATCTCTTGAAGAAGTTTATTTTTAGCCTGAGAACCCTACTTTTTGATAGGTATTTTTAATTTGTGTTAATTGCTTGAGAGTCGAAACCATCAATAATGATATTATGGTTTTATAGAAACCAAGTAACTGCACTAAAAAGCCTTTTAAAAGTTCTCTTGAAAGCATGAGGAGAACTGTTCTTAAATCAGTGTCTCTAGTTTTTGTGTTTTGGCTGAAAAATCTAACCTAATTGGTGGACGTTGTTCTTTTATGTTAATGGTGTTCACATTATACCACAAATAATTCAGTGTTATCCTACTGTTCTAGAAATGTCCATTTTTCATTGGTTGAATATGTTTGAAAACTGATATTTATAACATTTTCCATAATTTGTTTTCCAAGGTGTAAACCCTAAGAGTGTCTCTTTAGTAGCAGTCAGTAAGGAAGGATCACATGGAACCTGGAACAACCAGTTGTTCTCTAAACCGCTGGCACATACTGGAGGAGGAGTGGCTTTCAACAGAAACACTACAGGTAACAGTGTAATTAAAAATGGTCACATTGTATCTCGTCATGGTCAATTAATTTGGGTAAGACCATCTAGTGTAACTTCTGTTTTCAGGCTTAGGTTCTAGGCTAACTTTTTTTTCTTGTTTTAAGGACAGACTCTTAAAATAACAACTTCTTCATGTGTAAACTATGTGTTTTACTTTCAGAGCATAAAGGAAATATAGACCAGCCCCTACTGTAAAGTTTTGTCAAGATAAATTTTAGACCATTATTTCACTGCATTAATTGAAGCAAATAGTTTGACCTCATTACTGCCTGGTCAGTGTGCCAGGAACACTATCAAACAGCAGTCTCAGATATGAAAACAAGATGGTGGGTGGTGTGCTCATCTAATAGAAGTACTGCCTAATATTCTAAACATGTCGTGTAACAATCTACTAGCCTTGTCCTAAATACTTTGCTGCGTGAAAATTCCCCTTATTTTCAGCAAGTAACTTGCAGTAATGTGCCTTTTGGTACTCCATTTTGTGTGGAACACTATTATCAGCATTTTACAGAGTGAAGACTAAGACTAGTTAAACAGCTTGTCTAAGATTTCACTGAGGAAAGCATCAGATTCGAGACTAAAATCTATCTTCTGACCACCAAGCCCTATGCTTTCAGTACAGAGTCCCATCAGAGGACTGTTAGGGGAGGTTACCTTGTGAACAACTTCGCAGCCATTGTCCAGTGAGCATGAGTCACTCCCAAAGACATTAATGCCACTAAACCACCAAGCCTTATATGCTTGCAGAGAAAGAACTTTAGAAGGTTTGTTTACTTGCAGATGCTACACCCCTTTTTAATAGAACTTTAGTAGCCATTCTGCAGTGTCACCAAACCTGATTTTCCCTCTGAAAGTCAGGTGAGCAGTAAGCTGTCAATCTGCAATTTGATGAAAGATTTTAGGAAGTGGAAAAATAACAGCACCTACCAGAATTTTGATGGAATAGAACAGACTTTTTAAAGCAATCATCATATGTACCTTTTTATTTTCCTAAATATAGTATCTGGGTACCTTGGAATTAATTAATATATTCATAGAACAGTCTTGTAAGGGAATTAGGCATTAAAAAGGCAAAGAGCTGTTTCCAAAAGTATGCTCATCTACCTAGACATCTACCTACTGAATTGCACTGAAAATAAAATGAAGATAAATGCTAATGGTAAAAATCCTGATTTTGTCTTACTGGCTTACTTTGGTTATCTACTAAAAGTTTAGAGAAAATAAAACTTAAAACTGATTATTTTGTATGTTTGAAAACACTTGATATTATTTGTCTCAGTATCTTAAATTGCATGTGATGTTTCGTATGCTGGGGAGGCAACAACGTTTAAGACAGACACACCTGAAACCAGGATAGCTGCAGCACCAATCACAGAAATGCAACAGGTGTCAATTATGTATGTTTTCTTTTTTCATGTTGACAGATTTGAAAGTTGACACCGTGCTGTTTACTGTTTAGATAACTATGTTTAGTTTATTTAAGTGCTTACTTTTATTCCTTATCCACAACATTGCCTTAAGGTGAAATAAGATAAGAGCAAATAGTTACAAACGCTTTATTGATGAAGAACTGTAACGTTAAGATCAGTCAACTTTGCAGATACGCCTGAGTGCTTAAACTTGTGGTTTATGCATTTGTGTGACTGGAACGTTATTGTATTGTTGGTACATCACATTTTTATTCCATTATTAGAAAGGACTTTGTAAAGTAACTTGTGAGAGTAACACTTCCTGCTTGAGAAAACATAGGAATGAGAGATTATAGTTACAAAAACGTCAGATAGTTATTCTTTCTTGCTTTGTTTTCCCTCATTTCTTTTACATCACCTAGCCAGGTTCTCCATACACCTTTTCTAAAGTTCTGTCTTTCCATCTTTTTCTTTCTTTCATTTTCCTTGTCTACAGATGAGAACTTAATTATACCTATTGAAAAGCTCTCATGCAAAGAAAGGTTGAATGAAAAATTAGAGGATCCAAAAGGTAATTTATAGCAATTACAGCTTGGTTCTTTGTGCGTTTCCTATTAACGTTTTACATTTTCCTGTAAAAATTGCACTTATAGTGCAGATTCCAGATGATCATATATATTTTCAGTTGTAATCTGTTTTGTAAAATCTTGCTCTGTTCATTGTGATTTCTTCTGGACTGCTAGCACTAGAGAATATTTTATTACCCTAATTATAATACACTGCATGCCACTGCACTATTGCTGGATAATGGTAAAGAAGCAGCATATACATTTCTCCTGAAGGATTGCTTGTTCATAGCAGCACTTGGGACTTGCACCACTGACTGCATTCTGATTCTCTCTGTTACACCGATTTTACAGCGCTGTGATTGCATAGATTTTGCTGGAGTTACCTTGGCCTAAGAGGGTGGAAACTCAGGTTTCCAGGCAGCCTAGTTTGTATCTGAACACACTGTTCACTGCAAGCGTTGTAAAGCTGCTGGAATCTTTCACCTCTCCCCCAGTTTCTGGCCCCTCTGGTGTGTACTGCCTGTGTGATACGCCCAATTGCAACTATTCATTTTTGAACTTCATACCCAGCTCGAACGATTCGATGATTTTATCCTTTGTGAAGAGTCAGGTATGTGTTGTTTGAGGTAGGAGGCGTGGCCTGGGCAATGCTTACACTTGCTGACATCGTGGCAATGAGTGATTCCTTACACACCTGCTGATAGACCTCCTGGATGCCTGATGGATTAATACTTCTACAGCGAGAACCCCTTCTTTTGTACAGCAGTGGTTAAAGGTAAGGAACTGTCCTTTTCAATAGGATTATTTTTTTTATTTGTAATTACTCTGTTATTTTATATTGAACTTTTTTTTCCTCCTTCCCTTGTTCTCATCCAACCAAAGATCATCCTTCCAGACCTCTCTGTTTCACCCAGACTGTTCTTCCTGGCTGAAGAGTTCACAAAGGCCATTGGACATTGAGAGGTAAGGAGAACCAAAAAGTAGTTGAGCAATTTTTGACAGATGGGCAGTTTTGCTGAGCTTTAGATAGAAGCAGACAGAAGTATTTAAGTATTTGAGTTTATAGTAATTGAGGCCTGTCATGTTCTTATTTCCAGACCTCAGAATTTTAAGGAATGCTACTGAGCTGTCAGAGCTCTGAATGACTCCTAATGAAATAATTAGGAACTGGGGGAATAAAAAAGTGCGTGTGTGTGTAAGTGCACAGGCAGGTGAATGAACCACTAAAACTCTGTTGTTTTGTTTTTCAGACAAATTCCTGAAAAGGAAGAACCACTTAAAGACTACAAGAAAGTTAAATTATATTAGAATATTTTATTAAAGTTGTATTTTTCACCAGGCCTTTTGTGTCATTTTTTTTACTGTGCTGGAGACTGGCATCAACTGGACACAGGGAAACCACATGGAGACCCAACTGTTTGTGGAACTGATAGAAGTGACAGTTTAGGGAGTTAGCTGAATACTTTTTTGTTAGTGCTCCTCAACAGGGAGGAATGCAATGACCCAACACAGCTGTAAATAGCCAAGGATAACATTTTGGGTTTGTAGATGACCAGTTTTGCAGCTAATAGATCCATTGCTCTGAGCTCTGAAATTGACACAACTGGGACAACTGGGAGTGTTTGTGTGAAGAGGAAGATTTTGGGATTGCATTGAAGCCATAGATCTAGGAGACAAAAACTGTCAAATCAGATATTGCGTGTTTTACTGCAACTACCATTGAAATCATGCTGAATATCAATACGATAAAAATGCTCACACTTGATAAGGGTCAAGTTAAAACTACTGTGTATGGCCTTGTAGTTCACAATTTTAATACTATTGAGTACAGAACCACATCACTAGAGAAAAGCATTTCTCTCTTGACATTGTACCAGCACAGTCTTAACACTGCCTCAGGTGATGACAGACATGGAGAAGGTAAGAAATTTTCTTGGAGCAGGGAGTCTTAAGTATTGTAACAGATCCCTCTGCCAGTAGACAATAATTTCAGTACTAATTTTGTGTGTAAATGTGGAGTTTCTCAGCTTCCAAGACGATGGTTATATCAACCTTCCCAAGGTAGCACTGCTTTAAAGAAAGACCTGGACGAAAACTAGGCACAACAGAATTATAACCAAGGTTAAAGAAAGAGGTTAATTGGGTCTGACATTTATAGCAACCCTTTAACTGTGGAACCAGCAAAGTCAACTTCAAGTGAGGAGTTTGGTTCTGTTATTTTAGACAGATTTAGGCTGAACGTGTTGAGCACAAGAGTACTGTTGAGCACTAGTTTTCAAATATTGAAGTGCTTAAACCAGCTTCCAGTAAAGCAAGTAGCTCTATGTAAAAGGTAAGATCCTACCTTTCTCCAAACCTCAGTGTAAACCTTTCTCCGTGTTCTAAAGTTTGATGAAAGTACTAATGAAGTGTTCATCTTTATTCCTGCTGAATTGCAGGTGAGATGTACTGGGTCTGAAATTTAGCAGGTCTGTTAAGTACTATAAAGGGTCCAACTAATACACAAAGCAAAGAATATATATATATATATATATATGCTTTTTTTTCAACAGGCAAGCACTAGGGAGTTTTTAAAGAACACTCATACTTGGTTCTCTTGTAGTACTGCAAATGTCTTTTGAAGTGACTATAAAAGGGCATAGGCAAGGTTTTCTGAATGTAACTGAAAACACTAAAACTCTGTAATGTCAACAGGAAATCCTGGCTTTGTAAGTGGTGCTGCTTACAACCCATCAGGAGTATACATCCCTTCCTTTCATAAAAAAGAAGTTGGATCAGCTGGACAACGGATACAGCTAGCCCCTCTTGGTGCACCTGTATCAGGTAAGAAACATCCTTTTACCCTATACTTTATTCTTTATCTGAGACAAAGAGTAATGTTCATTTCTCATACTGTCTAAAAGATTTATTAGCCCTTTAGTAAGGTTTTCCTCAAGTTTTGTAAATAAAATTCTTGGGTATAAATTGTTTTTAACATAAGTGAATTGAATGTAGGTGTCTAGAAGCAGTCCTGATAGCTAGAGAAACTATTACTATTATTATTTGTTGGGTAAGAGAGAAAATAAAGGTGCAAACCTTTTGTAATTCTAGGTTTGGACCATTTGCTAAATTACTGTTCATTAGCGATGAAGGGCTAAGCACAATTGTAAAAATATGTAACTCCACAACTCTATAGTAAATGATCTTGTAGACTGGACGCAAATACAAACCCCTTATTTATGTGACTAGTAGGAATTGAGACAGTCACCAGCTATTAAGTATGCAAAATGGATAAATTCAAGTTTTAAAAAAAGCCTTATATTTGAGTGGATTTGGAGGAATTTTCTTGACAGAGACTTTGACGTAGCTTGGGACTGTCTTGTGTGGGTCTTTAATCAGTTTAATGTCACTTAATGCAATTGAATGATGCTGATCTATGCTTACAGTGGCATCAATAATTTTAAATGGCAAAGACCTTTATCAAGTGAATTAGTAAATTCACAAATAATGTTACAAATATGGTATAAGCGATAAATTAAAATTATTTTCTCTCTTATACTGGCCCTATGTAGCTGGCCTGTGGTTTCTGCAGTGGTCATGTAAGGCAGTTTTTCACTGTCTTCATCTCACTGTTGGCTGTGTGAGTCTGTGGACACTGAGATGACAGAACTCTTGCACCCATGAAATACCATGAGTGCTTTGTGAAGTGAAACTTTCACTGTTGCCATATTATAGAAGGTAAAGCTAAACGAGAATGCAAATGACCAGTTCTTAATAGTTACGATACAGTAATGACATAGCTGTACATTACATTGACAAACACATTAAAAGACTGTTCCATTCAAAACCAACGTGAAACCTGTTTTGAACATAACTGTTACCTTGGATCCTCTATGGTATGGATGACATTCTGAGCACCTCCTTTGTTGTTACGTTTCTGATTCAGAGAAGATGAACAGAAATCCTCAGGATGCAGGAGAAACTGGTTTGTGAGTGAAGATTTAGAGCCGTTGTTCAAACCTAACAGCAGACTCTTCTAGTTAATTCAGAGAAAATAGCAAGGCCCTAAACTAATCATAAATTATTGAAATAAAGGGCCTATGGCAGAGCAATCTGATATGGTCCTGCTTAATAATGTTGTCTTGTTGCTGACTTGCTCTTTTGAGTTACCTGTTCCCCTTAGGAAGTGACTTCTGAGAAGGGGAGGAGGGGGGAAGGATGGAGATGGCATGCATATATAAAATACACTTAGATGTATGCATATTCTGAGACTGAGTTGATGAGAAGCCCACCAGGGAGGGCTGGAGCTGCACTTCATTATCTTATCAAGTCACTGCTGAAACACAACAGTGAGAGTTTTGATTTGTCACAGTGTGTGGATCAAGAAGTTCACAGGAGGACAAGATCTGCAACTATCTCTAGACTGCTGTGAATAGTGAGAATGAAAAGGAATGACGTATGGTGATCCAAAGGGAAATAAGTTCACTGTTAATATGTAATTAGAAATGGAAAACGTGTAGTGAAAGTCAGAAAGGCTGGCAGATGGAGGTCAATTAAGAGACTGCTCCATGTCTTGGAGAAGAGCAAGAACCCTATTGCTTAAACCCCTCGTATTTAGCCTAAACTCTGCAGACTTGCATGGGAAGAGAGATAAGGATGAAGCAAATGGCAGGTTTTATCTCCTATCTGTCAGTATTTGAACGTTAACATTTTTGCTGACCCTTTGTTTTGTATTATCCAAATTGAAACTAGTTATGCTCTCAATTGTTTCTGCTCTCTTCATTTGTTCTGTTATGTTTTTTAATGCCATAATTTAAATAATATAATGTAGGATAAAAGATAAATTTCTCAGAGGAAAATGCAATGCCAAGACCTGAGAAAAGTGACCTTAATTGCCAAGAGAGCGTAGGCTGGAATCATACTTGCTGATGAAAGATGGGGAATGCCAGCCTACAATAGAAAGGAACAGTATTAGTTTTCGAAGAGCTGGAGACCTGACCCCCAGTTTCAGTTCATGAGATTCCTGCTTTTTAAATGTCTTTATCTTCACCTGTTCCTGAACAGGTTCAACCCGCTGTTGAAAAATACCACCAGAGACAGCTGGATTTCCATAAGAAACGGAATATGTAGGCATACACATACAAAAAAAAATAGTATTTTATCCATGATTTTATCATGTTAAATTTACATGTTTTAAATTGAAAGAAGTATCAGTAATACTTAATAAAAGATGACTAAATTATATAAGTAGGAATGGAAGGGGCAGAACATAATATAAGAATGCTAAAGAAACAATGGTAAGGTATAGGAGAAGTGTATGTATTTCTTATACATACAAATCCTAATAGAATTTCTTCTTTATATATGAGGTACCAAATGACTGACTTTAAAGGCAGAATTGGTGATGAACATAAAGAAAACCATGAGCAGTCAGCCCTTGCAACAGGGCAATTACTATAATCACATCAAGCTTGAGTAAGCAGTGACTATATGAAATTCAGAAAGGGGAAACCAGAGTAGGAAGGCCAGTAGTACAGTAGCACACTACTCCCAGTGCCTGGGACCAGGTGGATGCCAATATAAGGGAGAAAAAAACCCAAGGACTTGGAACACATTCTATGAAATCAATAGAGAACTGGGAAATGGAGATGAATAGGACTCACCACAAGGTACACCAGGAGTTCTCAGCTAAGCAGGAGGGAAATAAATGGCATAAAAATCTCAAAAGGAACAAGAGGGTGTTTTTGAGTCTAGGCTGTTTGGGTTTTAAGTAGTTTAGCAATGTTATAATTGTATGCTTTTTCAACTATTTGACACAGAGGAAAGAACACTTCCATTCTGTAACTGTTTTGTTACAGGAAATACAGAGTCGTAGACGTACACATCAGCTTTCCCACTAAATTTCAGTCTCAATATTTTCTCAACGGATTGATGCAAAACAAGTATCCAGTACTCATAAGATACACAAACTATAGGAAACATTAACCTTATCTCAAAACAAGTATATACAGCTTGTCAGAGACCAAAGCATCCTGCTCTCTTAGCATCTTTGCATACCACAGGTCATCTTTAAGCTATCATTCTTTTGTCTGTAAAGGAGTGAAATACCTGTTGAGTCGTGGCTAATTCTGAGTTCTTGTTCCTTTCAGATTATTCCTGGAAAACCAAAGCTGCTCGTGCTCAGCTGCCGGGTCCTACTTTCAATTCAGCAGCAAAAAACATGACTATATTAACTCGCCCACCAACAATTCAGCCAGTACATGGAAGAACAGACTGGGTGGCCAAATATGGAGGAAACAGATAGAAAATGCCATCCTGGATAGATACGTGAGCTGTGGTCAGTTCTCCTGCACTGGAAACGTGAAATGCCTATTTGCTCTATTTTTTTCTAAGACTATGCAATAGTAAAGAAAGAAAAAAGACCTTGTGTCCTGTGGAAGAAAAACAGAATATTTATAGTATACTGTGTAAAATACTGGCTACAAAGTAGGATTTGTCGAAGTATCGTATAACACATATTGCCAAAACTTCTGAGAAGTAGATTTCACTCGACATTTTTCTAGAGACGGGTCTCCTATCATTGTACTCCTAAAGCAACTGTTACAGTTGTTTGTCCAATGCAGTGCCCACTGCTGACATGTGCTTGCTTTCATGTACACCAGCAGCTAGAAGTGGGGCTAAAGCAGAGCAGCACCAGGGTTTCAGGTATTAGGCTGGTTCCTTACCAGAAGGAAGGGACTGAAAGCACACACTGAGCTTGGTGAAGAACACCACGCTCTCATACAAAGAATTCACAACTCACTTGTACCTAAAAGCTACTTAGGCTCTGTAATATGCAGAACTTAACTCTTTGTAGCAGAACATAAGCAATCCACTGATAAATACTACACAGGGAAGGTCTAAAAACTTGGGCCATATATGGCTATAGAATGGTACAGCAATATTGGAAAATAGCTAAACAAGTTACTGAATGCTAGACTTACCTCACCAAGCTGTAGTGAGTCTTAAAAATTAGATTATACTAGATTAATTTATGAACATTTTTAGTCAATCTGCAGAGATTTGTATCTGTCCTGATAAGGGAGTGTCACAGTGACATTTTAAGGAGCCTGAATCACCGCAGTCTGTCAGTTCTTTTAAGGGTGAATTAGCCAAAAAGGCATAAATTATCAGTAAACTCCTGTTTCTACATATCTTTGATCATGGTGATCAAACTAAGTTACAGAAGTTGAATAAGCTACACGAGGGAGGATATTGGGCTGTTCTTCAAAGATGTTGCTTTCTGATTTAGATCGTAAAGGCCAATTTAGGTACCTGAAAACACAAAGGAACTTTAATAATGCAATACCTCACTCTATATATGCTCTTTCAGTACTTTCCCTGGCTTCTAGGCTAATTTTTGAAGTAAAATCCCACAAAGGACCTTGCAACGTAGCATAAATTGTTTTTAGGATGTTGATCTAGGCTTTTGTTAACATCTGCATTTAGAATACTTTAGACTTAGTAGTTACATTAAACCTGCCATTTTAAAGTACAGAACAAGTATGTTCTTTAAAGATGTAAAGCTGTTCATGATTCCTTTAAGCATTGTAAAAAAGAAATGTATTTGTATGGCTTTTATAACTGCACATAAAAATTTAAATTCCTGTTGTTGAACTAGACTGCCATAATATATGGGTTATGTTAACTTACTGGAGGTCAGTTTAATCTACAACAGTTTTAGCAAAAAAAGTATTTTGTTATTAAAATTGCACCTAAAGAAAATGCCACTTTAATACCGGAAGAGATACAATGGGATGGGAATATCTGGTTAGTAACGAACTACAGACTTTAATTCAATTACCATTGGTCTAGGCTTAAGTAACTGTCATTCCTTTAGTACTACCAGATGGCCCTATGCTGTTTAAATGCATCTTAATTTATCTGTAACTAGCTGTGGCAATGAAGGACAACCTCAGACCTTCTGTAACAAGCATAAATGTTTGCCAATTAAAAAACAAGATAAATTAATCACTCAGCTGCAGTACAAGACACCACTGACTTAGTTAAAATCACAGTCTAGTCAAGGAATTAACTAGGAATGTGTCCCATAAGTCACCTAAAGCAGAAAAATAAATAGGTGCTATTTATGGCACTAAATATGGCTAGAAGAAACATGCTGACCTTACCATACACTAATGAACATTGAAACTGCTTTGACATAACCATAACAACCTTACTTGTCCATAACCAAAGCATGACAAGTGTTAAGAAATTCTTCCTGCAAATCAAGGAAAAAAAAAAAAAACCACTCCTAAGAGGCTAACAGGCTTTGTGCAGGCATTTTGACTCAGCTGCCCTGATACACATTGAACTGTTAGTGCAGAAATGCCATCTAATGCTTAAGAAATGTAGCACACGCTGATAAAGATCCAAGGGTGTAAGAAGTATGTAAGGCTCAAGCTTTTCTCCCTTCCCTTTCTCTGGATTACTGCTCTTTCTCCTGACCACGAAAAGTGGTGACAAGCACTTCTACCAGCAGTTCTCAATTTAAGCTACTGCTCCCCAAAGCTCATGAAACAGCAGCAAGGCTTAACGCTTTGGTCTGAGGTTAAAAGCTTACCAGTCCAATTCCCTGCTTTCTATTGTCTTTATTCTATTAAAGGACAGTTGCAGCCCGAATTTGCATGTTGCCTGATTTGAGACCAGCATTATACAATTAGAAAAACTGCTGGAGCATGGCTGTTCTCAGTTTATTGCAGGAGATGGATGGATGTTTGCACTTACTTCCACAGAAGATAACTGCTTCCAAAGCAATATGAAGAGGCAAATAACCCATACAGTAGTTTAAAGAGGAGTGTCTTAAATGCTATTGTCTGGCTTATTAACCTTTTCAAGCTAGAACATAGACACCGAGACACCTGCCCACCATAAACAAACCATCTGCTGTCCTGCTCAGCCCTGGTTTCTGTGCAGGGAGGTGAGAGGAACAAGTACATACGGGCCAACACCTGAAGCTGAGCTCTGCAGGATGAAGAATAAGGGCTCCAGGAAGGTGCCCTGAGTACAGCTCCCTGCCAGGAGACCTCCCTGCCTGCGCTTAAGCCAGCTCTGACCCAAGCTGTGTGGCCCGTGGCCAGGCTGCCCAGAGCCCTGCTCATTCGGGACTCACCCCGCTTGACTTGCCATCCTGGCTTGACCTCAGCACTGGCCACCGCCACACGACTGGCTCAGGCACCGCCACGTCACCGTCCTGCCTGTTCTGCTGCAAGGGGAGGTACTCACCTGGTATTTAGAGAGGTCTGAGCAAATCCAGAGTCTCATCAATCTCATGGATCAACCCCACTGTTTCCACCTCTCCCAGTACCCACCGCCAAAGAAGAAAGGCTGAGGAAATCAGGATCCGCACAGAAAGGGACTTGAGTGAAATGAGCCCAGAAAAGGGATACGTTACCATCCACGGGCAGCTCCCAGGATTATTTCTGTACAGCAGTTTATATTTAGAACTATTTCAGGCATCAAGGGAATCAACTGAGGACAAAGACTGATCAACCGAGCCCTTCAGTCTTTAAATAAACTTTCATAAAGCATTTTTCAAATCTAAAATAGAGGATTCCTCTCAGAAAAAAAAAATTACTTTATAATAACACTTGTGTAAATATGCTGTCTGGAGGCTTCTGTTCTCTGCACCTCCCTCCAGTTCATGGGGTTTTTATATTCACAAGTCACTAGATTGAGGGAATGGAATAGAGATTATTTATACAATTCACATTCACAAATATATTCAGACACTGCGGAAAAGGCACCAAACTATCAATCCAGATGAATGATTAAAGAAAAAAATAGTTGTGTAGAACACAAAAGGTTGTAATAATAATTTGTTGGTTTATTTAGAATAACATTTTAATGCAAGAGCTATTCCTACAATTCAGCATTATCTAATAAAGCATATTTTTGATTTATGAACAACAATCTGTAAAAGTGAAATGAGTGACACTTAGCTGGGCACTTCTGCTTACAAGTAATTGCACGTTACAGGTCTGTGTTCGTTGCGTTACAGCAGAACCTCGACAGCCTGCTCCTCATCGTGTTTTGTGGGACTGGGTCCCAGCACACAGTGCTGGGAGAACAAAGTCCCTGACTGACAAACATCATGATCAGATAAACTGGCAGGGACAGGGAGAAGTAGTAATAAGCCCGTTTGTTACATTAATTACTGGTGACAAATTGACAACTCCCCTCCCCTTGTTTTAGTGTTATAGATGATTTTAGAACAACTCCAGATGTACATTTAAGCTTCAGTCCTGCAACTGTCTGTGTGTCAAGAGGTCTTTGCCCACAGAAAGGTGCAGGACCAGAAGCTAGGCTAATGCTGTACACGCATTTTCCTTCCTCACCGTACAGAGAATGTTAAGACAAATACCATTTTGGAAGACATAGCAAGGGCTCTCAATGTCAGTCCTTTAAAACCACAACCCACATGTGTTAGGATATGAAAAATACAAAGCACAGACAGCAGTGCCTTTTCCACTTTTCTGCAGCACATTTAGGCCGTTGCATTTTCAGGCTTCTCAATCACGTATCTTCAGGTGGCTTGATGCAGACTTAGGGCTTAAGAGGCTTTTCCATGATCTGCAATCCAAGCCGTCCAACCATCAGCAAACTGTTGAAGAGAATAGTGGGTTTTTTGTTAAAAAAAAACCAAACAAGAAGACAGCCAGCATAGACATTATTTCATTGAGCTGAACTCCACCAGAAAATTTCATTTTTCACAGAACTTGCCATGTCACATTTTTAAAACAATATAATCCACAAAGAAGTTAATAAAATCCTTATTCAAAAATACAGAGAAGAACAAACGACAGGTGACTACCTGGCACCAGCAACTATCCCAGGCATTGCTTTTCTGGAGTTGTAAAATCTCATCCCCATAACAGCAGACAAGGTTCCAGACGCCACTGTTGAAAAGAAGCCCAGTTAGAACCATTTGAAACAGAGACAGCAGCCCAGCACCGCAACGCTTGGACGCTTAGCACTGCCAACCAAACAGGCTGATGTCTGCAGACAGGAATTCCTCCCTCCACAAGGAAGTGTATGCAAACAGAATTTTTTCACTATGAGGGTGGTGAGACACTGGAACAGGTTGCCCAGAGAAGCTGTGGATGCCCCATCCCTGGAGGTGTTCAAGGCCAGGCTGGATGGGGCTTGGAGCAACCTGCTCTAGTGGAAGGCGTCCCTGCCCATGGCAGGGGGGTTGGAACTCAATGATCTTTAAGGTCTCTTCCAACTCTAACCATTCTATGATTCTATTGTTTTACTTCACTTTGTTAAACAGCAGAGCTGTTGCAAGCTTCTCAGCAGCTTTGGTAAGCGCACTCCACTGCTCAGTGGAGTTGAGCATTGGGTTTGAGACTACTGTCCAATTGCCCACCACCTCCTGTCCTCTGGGCAGATCAGTCTCCCTCCCTCAGTTTCTCAGGATGGTTATTTCCTTGATAACAGATGGGCTCAAAACTGCCAAAAAGCTGCGAAGGTGACAAAGTTCACTATGTGGGAGGCAAATATTATTACAGTTCCCATTTCTCTGCAACGTTCTGATCTAGAAGGTAGCACTAAATTCTACAACTAGAAATAAAACAACCCCCCTTGAAAATACACATTAGCAAACAGCAACCTAAGGGATCAAACTGAAAGAGCGACTAACATTTTAAACATTACTTCAAATTATTTAATCTCTAAGTCGAAAAAAATCCCATCGATACTGATGTGAAAGTTACAGTGCCATTGTTTCTTTGAAGCAGAATGGAAGGTGGAGGTGCTGTATAACTTTCTCCAAACCTTCAAGCTTGTTTGCATCAGACTTGGCAGAAGGTATTCTAAAGATATTCTGGGAAGGTTCTTTTTCTGCATTTTTGCCCGTGATGTATGTGACCAAGCTGAAGCTCAGTGAGAGCCACAATGGCACCTGGCAGCAGGACTGAGGAGGAATGGAGGAATAAAGAGTTGTCCTAGACTGGGACACAACACCGCTTTCAAGAGGTCCACCTGAAAGTGCTACACACACCACGTCAGGGTAAACAGGAGCTGCTCATCCTTCTGTCACGATACTGCCTAAGAGGTCATGCTGGAAATGCACAGCCAACCCTGCTGTGCGTCTCCACATGCACACCACGCCAGATGTGCACCACGCCAGATGTGCACCACGCCAGAGCGGAAGAGACAGTTCACAAGAGAAACTCTGCTTCACATTGAGCCGTGTTTTACATTTCCTTCCTTACTGACAAGGCAACTTGGTCCCCCGCAGGCTCTACCAGGGGCTCTGTAGAGCCTTTCAGCACATTATGTGAAGGAGTACCATTGGTTTTAAATAGTCACAGAATCACATGGGGTTGGAAGGAACCTCTGTAGATCATCTAGTCCAACCCCCCTGCCAAAGCAGGTCCACCCAGAGCAGGTTGCACAGGAACGTGTCCAGGTGAGTCTTAAATCACTGTAATGCTACAGTATCATGATGCTAATACTGCTATGGCATAGTTACAGAACTAGAAGGAACCTCAGGAGGTCATCTAGACTTAACCTAGTGCCCAAAGGCAACATCAATTCCTGAGAGACACTGGCTTAACCAGTTATTAAACTGGTGATGGAAGCCAGCCTGATCTCTTCCAGTGCTCCATAACACTTTCAACTGTCATTTTATCCTTCTCCTTCACCTGAAGGGTTAACTGCAAGCTAAACCCACAACTTCTTGGCCCCTCTACTGTAACCAAGCGGAATAGATCATTGCCTCCTTTCTTTTAAGTACTGCAGACTGCTTCCTCCACAGCGTATGCTCTTCTGAGGTGCCTGTGCAAACCAATATTCCATAAAGCCTCGTACCGCTTGTCCCACTGCTGTCACCAGTGCAAAAAATGCTTATTCCATGACCATGGGCTGAAAATGCTGCTTCGCAACCAAACCTTTTTCACACACATTTCCCGTGCCTCTGTTAGTTTAACAGGGTATCCCATCCAGCAGAGCAGACAGGTACTTCTCTCCACCTCTGGCTTCAAGGACAGCCGAGGTTTCAGCACCAGGCACCCCGCTCTCACCCAAACACCCCTCGGCTGCGGGGGGGAGCTCCCGCCACCACCGCTGACACCATCCCTATACATCCAAGGGCACAGGTCTGCTGAAATTTACTAAGATAAAAGACTGCTGTTCCCAGGGCTACCGGTAACGCTTGGTCCTGGGGCGCTGAGCAAACTTACCGAGGGAAAGCCACACGTTCCTGGGGTCCTTGGACTGCTGGTAGGCGCCGAGCCCCGCTAAGCCGCCAAAGAGCAGCCCGGCGGCCAGGGAAGGGACGCTGCCTTCAGCGGAGTGAGAGACACCACGGTCAGTAACAGCGCGCGTTAAGGGCTTCCCCTTATTAAAAAAAAAAACTACAAAACCAACCCAAACAGGAGATCCCGGAGCGGGGTTTTTTTAGCTGCCTGGGCAGGCGGCAGCGTCGTTTCTCTGCCCGGGGTCACTCCCCGCCGCGGCCCAGGGCCCTGCCGCCCCGGTCGGTCGCAGGGCCAGCGGACACCCCGCCGCCTCCCCTCGGGGCCCTCAGGCCGGCCGGGCAGCGACACAGGCCTCCCTCCGCAGCCGCTCGGGGACACCCTCCCCGGGACACCCACCTGCCTTGGCGTAGCCCACGACGCCGCCCGCCGCCACCAGCGCCGCGTAGCCGAAGCCCAGCCAGTCGTACTCCATCTGCGGGCAGCGCCTGGCCTGGCCTCCCCCCGCCGCCCACCGACCTTGGGCCGCTCTCCCCGCGGCGGCACCGCCTCCCCCCGCTGGGCCCGCCCGCCGGGCCGTGACGGGCAGCCGGGGGTAGGCCGGGGCAGCCGGGGGTAGGCCGGGGCAGCCGGGGGTAGGCCGGGGCAGCCGGCGGCCGCTCGCCGCCTCCCCGGGGCAGCCCCGCCGCGGGCCCGGGGGGCCTGGGTGGGTGGATGGGCCGCAGCGCGTCCCCGGGCCTGCAGGTCTGGGGGGGAAATAGGCCCTTTAATCACTGGTTACCGACACCGGCAAAACAGGCTCGGCTTGGGGGGATTAATTGAATTTATTGCCAATGAATAACACGGTAGGAAAGAAATAAAGTGAAATAAAACCACACCTTCCTCTTCTTCCCAGGGTCAACATCACTCCGGTCTCCCCTGGGGGATGGGGAGTAGGGTTTGCAGTCAGTCCATAATGCCTCACCTCTGCTCCTTGCCCCTCACGCTCTTCCCTCTGCTCCAGCGTGGGGGTCCCTCCCACGGGAGATGGTCCTTTGTTAACTTCTCCAACATGGGTCCCTCCCGGGGGCTGCAGTTCTTCATGCACTGCTCCAGCCTGGGTCCTTTCCACAGGGTGCCGTCCTTCACGGACAGGCTGCTCCAGCATGGGTTCCCCAGCGGCCACAGGTCCTGCCTGGAAACCTCCTCCTCCATGGGATCTTCTCCAGAGGCTGCAGCTTCCTTCAGGGCATGGCCACCTGCTACAGTGTGAGGTCCTCCACGGGCTGTAGCACGGGTATCTGCTCCACCATCATCCTCTGTGGGTTGTAGGGGGACAGCCTGCTTCACCATGGCCTTCCCCAGGGGCTGCTGGGGAACCTCTGCCTCTCCTCCCCTCCTTCTGCTCTGACCTGGGTGTCTGCAGGGCTGTTTCTCTCATTTTTTCTCACTCCTCTCCCACAGCTGCTGCTGCACCATGTTGTTACCTGTTCTTAATTAGGTAATCACAGAGGCACTACAGCTGTTGCTGATGGACTCGGCTTTGGCCAGCAGCAGTTCCATCTTGAAGCTGGCTGGAGCTGGCTCTGCCCAACATGAGGGCAGCTCCTGGTGTCTTTACACAGAAGCCACCCCAGCACCCCTCCTTCTCCCACAACCTTGCCATGTGAGCTCAATGTAGATGTCAAAAGAAGGCACCTGGATTCCCTGGAAGCTCTGCTGAGCGATGGTGGTGATGTGCTACAAGGGACAATCCCCAGCAACACATGGAGCAGTGGCCCCGGCACCACCCTGGATGCTTTGAGAAAGGGGGTTTGGACTCGGTGCCCCCCAGAGGTCCCTTCCAACCTCATGGTTCTGTGTGACATAAGCTCCATGAAGTTGGTACAAGTTTCCCAGCAGATCTCTGCGCTAAGATTTGTGCTTGTGATGAGATCTTTTATGTATTTTACAGAAAATAAGGTATCATGAGGCCCGCCTGACACAAGAAGCAAATTACCTTCTGATCCCTGGCAGGGCTTGTTCATTAATGTGTACCCAAAAGTTTACCAAACTTGGCAAGTTCCAAGGCCTGCCTGTAGAACAACGCAAACGACTTGTCGAGCATGCTTTCTGCTTTGTGGTTGTTGGGTTTTTTCCCCCAACTGCATGACTGATGGGAGCTAGGCTTGGTCCTGGATATATTTGCAAGGAAAAACAATCAGAAGAGCTGAAGTTCACGCACTGAAAACTGTGGTCAGACCAGTTCCTCCACAAGGCAATGAACTTCCCTCCACACTTGCTTCCGTGAAAGTCTCCGAGGAAGAGGTGTTCAGGCTAAACGTCTGTTCTGGTGTGTGTGAATGGCTAAGAGACCAGCACAAACATATTTCAACCAAAAGACATTTAAAACAGTTGTCAGGCTTCCACTAAACAAACAAAACAAGACCAAAGAGGGACACCTCTTGCAGTTTGATGAGCTCTACGGCAAATCAGCAGTTTGCCCCAGGCTATCTGGAAAAGGAGGCTTACACTGAACAAATGACACTTACCAAACCAGTATTTTTTATCCTATTTAGCTCATCAGCCCCTCACATTCCCACTTCATTCTCTCATGTTTGGCATTGCTGATGTCACTGCTGACTTCCCAGCTCACAGCAATCAGGTCTGCCCCAGTCTTTGTCACTTTAACTGAATTAGAAGCCAGCAGCTGACTCACAAGCCAGTGAGAAGACCATACCATACATTTTAGTTTTATGCCTCCTGTGGCAATGCGATGATCCATTCATGTGCATCAAAGCCTCAGCCTGGCAGCTGTGGGTGCCAGAATGGTGGGCTTGTGGTAGCTCCGGTGCCCGTAAATGGAGACACGGGTTGCAGGACGAGGCAGTGTACTGTAACAGAGGAGTGGTATGTTGCAAGAGAGCAAACCAAACCAGACCACAAGTCCATTAAAGCGTGTTTGGCTCTTGCTCTGTTCTGCAACTTCAGCGTTGCAACTTCTGCAACACTGCAACTTCTGCAACTTCTCCTTTCTTTTATGCCATTTCTGTTATTCGCTTGGGGGGAGCTGAAACTGAAAGCATGGGTACAGCCACATTACTTTCATTCCTTGAGCGAAGTCTTTAGGAGCTCAATAACCAGAAAAGCATCCAGTGGGTTGACTAGAAAAGTCAACCTGATGTCAGTGGAAAGTCTGACCAGCTGGGAAGTCCCGTTAGGGAGAGCAAGTTCTTTACATATCTCATCCCAGTCAGCTTCTGAGCAAGCGACAGAGCAGAACTGAAAACTTTGCTCCACTGTTCATACTGATTCAGAAAAGCAGCTGCAAGCTGCACTGGGAAAGAGTTGACACCCCTCTAAATCAGGTTGGACATCAGTCCTTCAATAGACTAACCAGCTGTGATGTTTTTTCTGTGTTCTTACCTAAACAGGAAATATAACACAGTCTTAAAATACCTGTATTTGTTCAGGTTCAGAGAACAATACACTTTTATATCTGTGTTTTCAAACTGCCAAGCTTATTGCTTCTGGTATGGGGTGATATTTTGCCATTTGCCTGCAGAGTCTGAACAATGAAAAGTAATCTTGTTTGTACTCTGTGCTACTTTAAATATTCACATAAATTGGTGAGAATGCCTTTATTTTATTTGGGATGTTTCGATCTGAGAAATATTCATATTGATAAAACAAAGAGGGAGCTGGTTCCAGGCTTTTCAAGTTGGACACCCTAAAACTCCCTCTTTAAAAGAAAGACTCTATCTGAAATATTTCTCTCTTCAGCTGCCACCATGGCAGCAAGTTAGCAAAGCCCCCGCCTTCTCCCTTCCCCCAAAAAGCCTGAACAGTATTTCCACCAAAGTTCTGCTCTGGAGGTAAATTCTCGGTGCCTGTCTGCAGGGATGTGTGTTATTAGGTGTTGGCAGCTATAAAGGCAGAATAAGCTGACTGAAGCGGATCCTGCCTGTTCAGACCCTTCCCTGGGGGTTACCAGCTGTGCTTCAGGATGTCTGAATGTGATGTGTTGTCATTTCTGAACTGCTGCAGGTTGCAATCCAGTTTGGTACAAGACCCTGAAATTAGCAATGGTTTAATAAAGTTGATGGTAAACTGCTGTTATTCAAGAGGTACCCTTTGAGGCATCTTTGCGTGTTCAGACGAGAGACAGGAGAGCAGCACACACACTCTCCTTAGATTTAGGCATCCCAATTAATAGTGCCTCCTGAATACAGGAGGAAGTATTCATAGTTTTGCTTCCTGGCTTTGGTTTTTTAAGACGCGATGACTGATACCTATAACATTTGCCTTCTGTTTGCCATCCGAAACTGTTCTTGAGCACTGATTTTTTTCTCTGTGGCATGCCTCGTCTGCTGAGATTGTATGTGGTGAGATTTTATGTGACGTGAAAGGGAAAATCAGCTCAGATGTTTGGTGGCCTCCTCCCTCTAGTGGCTGTTACCGGGGAATAGAAACGGGGCTGCCAGCAAGTGATCCCCAAGGTTAAGTCTGTGCATTAAACATTCTATGAAGAGGAAAGGAAGCACACTTGGGAAGAAGGTTTGTGCCATATCAAAATATGACACAGAATTACTGAGTTATTGCCAAAGCTCAGTTTTACTGCTCTTTTCATTCCTGAAAATATTTATCTTGCTACTTCCTTCCCGGCTTTCCAGCTCTCCCTGTGACCTTACACATAATGATCTAAGGACACTGGTGGGCCGAAATCTGCATGTAGAGAGGGGTTTTTTATTATTTTTTCTGGTTCTGTTAAATGGCCAAGTAAGACAAATATGCAAACCCCTGTTTTTCAGACATGGGGAAGGGCTCCTCTGCCTAAAAGCCCATCTATCTGCTTTTTCTAACCACACCCATTGATTTAGTAAAAGATGCTGCTTTCTCTGACAAACCTTGTCCCAACAGATATATAAAGAACAGGTAAGATCTGGGAAGTGCAGTGTCTTTATTCCATTTGCAGTGCTTTTCCATCAGTTCTCTGCAGGAAATATCAGTACCTTTGACAAAAGGGTATCTGTATGTATAGCCAGCAGTTGTGTTCCTGCTTTTAAGATCTTTCTATGACTCATTACCTTTTTGCTTACCAAATGTGCAAATTTGTCTTTTAAACACAAGAAGTGCCAGGGATGCATGACTCTACATTTTTATAGAAAAAGATAGCAATGACAGTGTAGCAAGACAAAAGCTGGGGCTGGAAAATAGCCCATTAAAAATGGCAAAAGTGCAAAGCTCCTCCAGCTGCAAGAGAAGCTTTACCCTGGTGTCTCTTTTTGGACCTTTTGCGTTTTGGCCTCCAGGTGTTAAGTGGAAGGTGAGGTTTGCAAGCAGGATGAGACAAGCCGACCTGAGCTGCATCTACAGAACACCCTAAAGAAACCCATCCCATGAGTTCATGTTTCTGGCACAGCAGAAATTAAGATTGCTGCTGCTCGTTTCATGACTGCTTCTATTAATGTTGTAGCCTGGGGTTTTGCTAGCTAAAAATACCAGCTGGGTTCCACCTCAACCTCACTCTGGGACAAGGTTCTCTGCCGATGTCTCAGCTCCAGGCACTCCACGGTCAGGGGGTAAGTTTTAAGCTCAAACTTATTTGCAAACATACAGGTAGAGTTATAAAGCCACTTGAGGTCACCTGTTCCGTATATACAGATCCCTCTGACATAATGGCCTGCCAAAAGAAAAAGAAAAAAAACCCATCAAAATCAAGGCTTCAAATCATTGTTTTTGAGAAGTTCTATCTGCAAAGCCACTATAAATGATCTCCTACACAACAAACATGCTAAAAGGCCTACTGGACATGCAATGGGAATAAGTATTGAATATAAGTATGAATAATGGGATGAAATTAAGAATGTTACATTAGAACATTCAGTGAATAAAATACAGTTAGCAAAATAAGGAGATAACTCAGAAAAGAAGTATTACTGCTTGAGACTCTTTCTCAGACAAGGCTAAAACACAGCAAAGGGGTATTTCCTTCTGTCAGTGAAGAGAAATTCATAGTTTTACTTGTACTAGATTTTCCACGAACTAGCTCTGGGTGATGTTGGTGTAATTTCACTGATTTCAACGTAGTTATGCCGATACAAAACTGCTGTAATTGAAGTTGACTGAAGTTCTCGACAATTTTCTCCTCAACAGAAACAGCTATGTTATGGATTAGGAATTCTTGAAAAAAAGTTTGTGTCGTTAGCATTTTGGCATTCCCTTTCTCTTTCCACTTGGATATGTCAGAATTAGCAGTATGCAATGTACAAACCAGTGACTGAAAAATTAAGTCTGCCATACAGGAGATTATCTACTGCTAATATTATGTCACGAAGTAACATGGCATAGGAGAAGTCAAAGCTCAAGCATCATCATCAGCCCTCAGGTCCTTAGGTTCCTCGTCAGCTGTGGCTCTGGCATGCATCGGTGCCCAGCTGAGAGCTGGGATTTATCTGAGTCCACACAGGACACCTTCCCTGCACACTGCTGTTGGCTCTAGTGCATCTGTGTCCCGGTGTGGGACATACACATGAGCTATTCCCACCCACCTGCAAGAAAATTCCCCCTGAGGCCTTCAAGAGAATAGTCAGCTAACTCATGTGAGCCCTAAGTGCTGCCAAATATCCCCCTTTCCAAGGCTGATACATTCTGTAAGATTCCTGATGAAGAAGCAACTGTTCCGGCTTTCTCACCGTTTATGTGGCTACTGTAATCCACATATGGACTCTGAAGGAGATGACTCCTTTTTAATGTCTTCTCTCCAATGAAGTAATGTCTAAAGACTGTAGCACATTAAGATTAGAGGCTATAGGAGCACAGGAACAACAGTCAAGTGTTTTTTACTATATGAACAGGAAGAAGCAACAGAGAAAAAAAGTACACTTTACCATGACAACCTCCATGGCTTTTTTCCATATCAATCCACTTCACCGCTTTCAGGTCACCTTCCCATGACGCGTTGGGCATGGAGCCTGGGACACCTGCAATTAGAGAATAGAAAATCAAATAATTAGTTCTTTTAACAGCTATGTGTTCAGGTAACTGGGATCTTTCTCCAAAGAACTGAGATTAAATACTTAGGAATATGCATTAACAGATTCCTGGCTGCTAGCCTTGTTGTCAAGTTTCTTCACTGAAAGCAGCTTTCATCACATAAACAAGATGTCAGCCCAAGACACCTAAACATTTCACTTGAGAAATAAAATCCTTCTTTTGCAACAGCCTCAGTACGACACTGCATGCATGTGCTCATGTCACCCTCCCAACCAGCATTGCCCTCCAAGGAATATTTGAACACTGGGTCACCTACACCTAGTACATTCACATGAATTTAGTGGTAAATACTTTCCTCTTTTTTTTTTTTTTTTTTTTTTTTTTTTTTAATTTCTGCAAAAAAAAAAAAAAAAAAAAATTTTTTTTTTTTTTTTTTTTTTTTTTTTTTTTTTTTTTAGAAAAGATGCTAACAGAACAAATTCAAGTGTGGTATAACTGGGTGGACTTGTTGAAACTCAATTATAGCCTGTAATGTTATATAATGATATATGTAAGTCTGGGCAGATCACAGGACCTATTCAGGAGATAAACTGGTAAGAGGACCTCTCCTTGTCAGTAAATGATGAAGTCCTGCTATAGCCTGACAAACATCCATTCTAAGTAATTAAGGGGGAAATGCTGAACATGCAATGTTTGGTGTTTGCTGAAGAGTAAACAGGCAACATGTATGCAAGGTGGAGACAACTGCTGTGAGTCAAGGGAATTTCAGTATCTTCAGTGCAAGTTGTTGCCGGCAACATAAGACTGTAACAGACCATTGCCATGGGTTTGAAAGCAAGAGCTGGTCAGGTAGGAACAGCCAGGGAAACCTCTGTGCCTGGTCTGTACTGCAGTATCATACGCAATTCAGTGAAAGAAGTTTATTGAAGTACTTCCTAAACTGGTCTTCAGAATATAGAAAAACAACAATAACAAAAAAAAAAAAAAAAAAAAAAAAAAAAAAAAAAAAAAAAAAAAAAAAAAAAAAAAAAAAAAAAAAAAAAAAAAAAAAAAAAAAAAAAAAAAAAAAAAAAAGCAAAGATATAAAATAATAAAAGCTTTCTATGAATTGTCCCTCTTAGCAAATTTTATCTTTCTTATTGGCTCAATCAGTTGTTGAAGAACAAAACGATACAGACTGTGTAACAGTTATGGACTGTGTAACTGCCACCTGGTGTACAAACCACTTTCCTAAGAAAAGCTGGAAAAGCCCTAGTTTCTCACTGTAGCAGAAACACGTGTATATCGCTTATTGGCCTGGTTGGAAAAAACTAACCATCTTTTCTTCTTTCCTGCCCAGCAAGCAATGACCAGGACTCTACCTGAGGTACCAAAAGGCAGAACACGCAATGTCTGGGGAGACAGCAGGTACAAACCCACAGATGTTATTTCTGCTTTCTCCTAACGAAACTGAAAGCAAAGGAGGGGGCTGACTTCCTCAAATGCAAAGAGTTACTGCAGTGTTACAGCTGAGGAATACTTGGGACTCAAGCTTTTTAAGAAATGCAGCAGAAGTGCCAGCACTGACTGGTGGCGGTGACGGGGAGAAGAGGATTTGTAGCACCCCAGATGCTCCCCACACACCCAGGGGGGTGACAAGGCAGTCTGGGGCATCGCTGCTCCGTGCTGCTCATGCACCGCTACCCCAGAGCTACCCCGTAGCAAATAACCCTCCTCGCTACCAAAACTCTGTGATTTTCATCGGTCTCAGTTGCTGCACACGTAGGGGCTGGGGAGCCCAATAGTGATGCCAGGATTAAGTATTATTACTATCAATAAATACTAATAACCGGGGAACTAGCCTAACGATAGCTGGTGCAAAAGGTAAGCTGGTTTAATAGCTAAACACGTTCAAGTGGTTTTCTTCCAGATTTGTAATAGGGACATTTAAAACCTGTTATTCCTGCTTCCTCCTGTTATTTCTTTTGAAGGAAACATTTGTATGAGTGGTGGGGAGGGAACCGTGCAGCTTTTTACCAAAACATCTTCATAACATTTATATTATTATCTGTGATTTGTACTAACTCAGTATACCTAAAAGACAGCCGTTTTCCTCAATTCAGAATAAGATGAGAACAAAACCTTTTAGAGCTTGTACAAATGTATAACAGCACTGGTCTGTGGGACCTGTGCAAAGACAGGAAACCTAAGCCCTTCAAGTATGATTTTAACTGAAATAAAATTGACATTTTAATCTCCAGTTCTGACCTCTCTTTCTGTAAGGCTAATTACCCCATCTTCTTAATTTTCATAACTTCATTTAAAATGTGTATTAATATTTATTTTCCTAGTTAGCTACAATCCTAAACAGGGTGATTTGCCAGCAGTTCTGTAAAGGACAATTTCAGCTGGTGACTGCAGCACACGCAAGAAACCCTCTGTGCTGAAACGGTAAGCTGAGAGTGTGTCACCATCCTAACCTTGGTGTTTTCTAGAAAATAGAAGTGAAAGCAAAGTAAAATTTTGTTACTATTTTGGTTTTTTCTGTTCCTTTCCTAGATGGCAACAAGTACAGTGCCTCCACAGTTACCATAACCCAACAACTATTTTGCTTGTGAGCTTGAAGAGAAGCACAGTGAAGGACTAATGACATCCTAAAGGCCCTCGATAATGGCGGGGGGGGGTTGGATTTGGAGTTAGGTTTTTTTGAGAAATTGGATGAGAGAAGGGTTAATCATCAGGGTTTGTTTGGTTTGGTTTTTTTTTCTGTTTACTTACTTTGCCCTGTGTCTTTAAGGATAGCTTATTCCTGGTAAGTAAGGGTGGTTGTTTGCAAACACCAAGTCATGACTTTTATATCTGATGCAAAACAACCGTATGATCCAACAGCAGAACCACAACAGCACTTTGCTGTAAACAGAGATATATGGCAGCTATAACCCCAACTTCATGACTTTGCTTCTCCCCCTCTGCATATTGGCCCGTTATCAGATAAAATAACCCGCAAAAAAAAAATGTGGGTTTGTTGTGGGGAAAATTCAGAAAATGTTACTCCTCCACAGAAAACATTAAGCTAAGAAAACACTTTATAAAAAGACAAAAAGAGGCAGTGATGGCAGGGGATAAACACTGTAAATGGCTTGGGATGTGCATTACCATCCTAAATTAAAAACCTGTTCATAACAGATGGCAGTAAATGTGGTGATGTGCAGAAAGACTTGGAAAATGCTGACACAGTGGGAAAGCAGAAAAATGATGGACAAAACAGGAACGACCCCAGGACATCCACAAAAACACTGGAAGGCACTGACCTTCCAGGAATACAAAACTACTGACTTCACATTATTCACCATCTCCCAAATTGAGTAAGCGAGGCATTTTTGTAAGTTAATTAAAGAGTGGGGGAATATGTAGCTCAGCACTGGGGAAAAAAAAATGGATTTACCACATTTTCCTTTACATATTTGTTTGAGCGACTGATTTTGGATTCAGAAGCTGTATTCTTATAAACACAGTTTGTCTGAAAAGTGTTGCTGATGGTTACAGTTAATATAAACTTCAGCGTGAGTTGCTCACTCTACTTTTGTCCAGCTCTCATCTCCCACTCCATGGAGGTTAGCGGAGTTTTGTCCCTAATAAAAATGAGTGAGGAAGAGCTGCCTCATGAGCAGCAGTACTGAGCACTGCCCTGGAAAAGAGTTTGCCACTATCAGGTCTTAGAAACAGCCACCAGATGAACTGCACTGCTCAAGTGTGAAGACAGACACAAGTGACTAGAAAGATGGGCCAGACCCTCTGATGCCTTTAGTTTCATGTCATTGCATGGTGGCAGAATTTTGGAGGCAGGAAAAACACTGTTTCAGAGCCTGGACCTCATTCACATCACAAAGGCGACACAACTTGCTTTTCCGCTAAGTTCTTCCTGGTTTTTTGCCATTTCAATTCCATTAAGAGCTGCTCTGTATGTGTTGTCTCCAAGGGACAGCCCGCTCCCTTTCCTCCTTGCATCGCTACCGTGTATTATGCAGACAAACACAGGCAGCCTACACAGAACATTTGCCTTAACCTTCCAAGTCCTGTACCTGTGATTCCAGGATCAAGCCAACACATTGGTTAAAACCTAGCTACCAATGGGCTGGTCTCCACCAGACCCCTGGAGCAGCCTCGGCTTCCTCATCGACATCTCTCTCTAGGGAAGGGGAAAACTTCTTTACACTTCTGTGCCACCAACTGATCTGAGCTTTTCTCCTGCACTTTATAAGCCAGGGCACAGGAGTTTGTACTTCAGAAATCTGCTTGAAATGGTGTACATATCACCCTTGGGAATATTATTCTGCAAGATCTGATTGAAATCGACCATAACTTTTACTAGACTTCAGGGCCATGTATTTATGTTTGGGAAATATACAAGGCTTGGGGTGGGCCATGTATAGGTGGGCAAGTGCATACCCTCTTGCCTACAAGTGAAGGCATGTAGCCCACCAGTATGTGAGAGGGACCTGGAAATTCACAAACCCCTTTGGTGGCTTTTACAGAAGCAAAATAGTACAAGGAAGCATGTGTAGGACTCTTGAGACAGTATGGCCGGAGATGGTAGAAGCCAAGTGGATGCCACCACAAAAAGCTGGCATCATGCAACAGCTAAGTGGCAGCAAGTGCCAGGGTGAGGACACCCGTGCACTCTCTGGACCTGACACCCTACCTGGGATCCTGTTGAGTGTTACCCAGAAGTGCTCATCAGGGCTGTAGGTGTCCTCAGACCATGCCAGGAGATCGATAGCGCGCTGATCCTGCAGCACAAACTCCACGAAGGGCCGGGTGACAGCCATGTACGCAGAGCCAAAGTAGATGGTCAAATTGTGGGGCGGGGGTGCCTTGTGAAGCTGGGGAGTGACCAGCCTGGAGGTGTCGTGCTCGGCCTCCTCCCTGTGCACGTATTCGGTGCGTACGGTGATGTAGGGGGGTGGCAGCACCCCAGGGGTGATGTTCTTCCCCCTGAAGCCCTTCA